TAATGTAATATACATTTCCAGATATTTCAATTCTGGGTAAAATAATTTGCAGATTGTGTCATGTCATGCTATCTATAATGACCATAAACCATATCAACTATACAGTACCTCATTTAAAGTTCATCAGGAATTTCAGTTCACATATAACCCTTGTTAATAAAATGATGTAGAAAAATAAAGAAATTTCAATACTGCGACACATTTCAGAATCTCATCCAGAATAAACTGATTAATGTGAGATTACTAACCATCAACCTAAAGCCCTGGTGCTGTTTTCCTGTATACATAACACAACAGATATATCCATAGTCAATAAGTTTACTAACGATTAAAGTTGCTGTCGAAATTTCTCTCTTATCAGCAATGATTTCTGAAGTAGCATCAATTTTGCTATGTGAATGATGTCAGTGATGTGGATCTATTAATCCAGACATGCAAGGGTTCGTGAGAATTGACACGCCCTGAATTGTGTCCAGAATCGTGAAATTGTTACCATTAGCTGGTCAGTGTGATGGTGTTAACTAGAGATACTGTATTGTATATAGGTCCCTAATGAACAATGAGGGAAAGTCATTAATCCCTTGTATAGGTCTCCAGGGTGTACTTGGATGAGGTGTCGTTTATTTTGTACTTTCAGCTGAGGTCATCCTCTGGACACTAATACCATCATATTCCTTTGATGTGATCAACCCACAGTGCCACTCCCAAATCTGTCAATTCCTCAACCCACAGTGCCACTCCCAAATCTGTCAATTCCTCAACCCACAGTGCCACTCCCAAATCTGTCAATTCCTCAACCCACACTGCCACTCCCAAATCTGTCAATTCCTCAACCCACAGTGCCACTTCCTAATCTGTCAATCCCTCAACCCACACTGCCACTCCCAAATCTGTCAATTCCTCAACCCACAGTGCCACTTCCTAATCTGTCAATTCCTCAACCCACAGTGCCACTCCCAAATCTGTCAATTCCTCAACCCACACTGCCACTCCCAAATCTGTCAATTCCTCAACCCACAGTGCCACTTCCTAATCTGTCAATCCCTCAACCCACAGTGCCACTCCCAAATCTGTCAATTCCTCAACCCACAGTGCCACTTCCTAATCTGTCAATCCCTCAACCCACAGTGCCACTCCCAAATCTGTCAATTCCTCAACCCACAGTGCCACTCCCAAATCTGTCAATTCCAACACCCAATACTTAAAGTCTTATTGGTACAGTAATCAGTCACTACTCATCGAAGAAATTCAAGGTAAACAGAAAGGAGAACACTTGGATTTTAAAAATATCACCACTTTACATTCTGTGGTTCCAGTGTACCTAGAAAAGAGACCAGAAAACTATAAACATTCCGTTTTCAATTTTTTGTTTAAACATCCTTGATCCATCATTGTTTGCTTTTCAAAATCATTCTAATATTTCCTGTCTTACTAATGAATGATACACACTGATATAGGTTTCTGAATAAATTATAAAAAGTGAATTGCAACAAAGTCAGTGATGTGTAACTACTGGGCAATAATTCTATAGAGCTAGTAAGGTTACAGTGTAGACCAGTAATTCTACAGTTGTAAGGTCACAGTCTAGACCAGTAATTCTACAGTTGTAAGGTTACAGTCTAGACCAGTAATTCTACAGTTGTAAGGTTAGTGTAGACCAGTAATTCTACAGTTGTAAGGTTATAGTGTAGACCAGTAATTCTACAGTTGTAAGGTTACAGTGTAGACCAGTAATTCTACAGTTGTAAGGTCACAGTGTAGACCAGTAATTCTACAGTTGTAAGGTCACAGTGTAGACCAGTAATTCTACAGTTGTAAGGTCACAGTGTAGACCAGTAATTCTACAGTTGTAAGGTCACAGTGTAGACCAGTAATTCTACAGTTGTAAGGTTACAGTGTAGACCAGTAATTCTACAGGTGTAAGGTCACAGTGTAGACCAGTAATTCTACAGTTGTAAGGTTATATACACACGGTAGTATATCAGTAATTCTACAGCTGTAAGGTTACAGTGTAGACCAGTAATTCTACAGTTGTAAGGTCACAGTGTAGACCAGTAATTCTACAGTTGTAAGGTTACAGTGTAGACCAGTAATTCTACAGTTGTAAGGTCACAGTGTAGACCAGTAATTCTACAGTTGTAAGGTTATAGTGTAGACCAGTAATTCTACAGTTGTAAGGTCACAGTGTAGACCAGTAATTCTACAGTTGTAAGGTCACAGTGTAGTAAGGTTCTACAGTGTAAGGTTACCAGTAATTCTACAGTTGTAAGGTCACAGTGTAGACCAGTAATTCTACAGTTGTAAGGTTAGTGTAGACCAGTAATTCTACAGTTGTAAGGTCACAGTGTAGACCAGTAATTCTACAGTTGTAAGGTTACAGTGTAGACCAGTAATTCTACAGTTGTAAGGTTAGTGCAGACCAGTAATTCTACAGTTGTAAGGTTACAGTGTAGACCAGTAATTCTACAGTTGTAAGGTCACAGTGTAGACCAGTAATTCTACAGTTGTAAGGTCACAGTGTAGACCAGTAATTCTACAGTTGTAAGGTTACAGTGTAGACCAGTAATTCTACAGTTGTAAGGTCACAGTGTAGACCAGTAATTCTACAGTTGTAAGGTCACAGTGTAGACCAGTAATTCTACAGTTGTAAGGTCACAGTGTAGACCAGTAATTCTACAGTTGTAAGGTTACAGTGTAGACCAGTAATTCTACAGTTGTAAGGTCACAGTGTAGACCAGTAATTCTACAGTTGTAAGGTCACAGTGTAGACCAGTAATTCTACAGTTGTAAGGTTACAGTGTAGACCAGTAATTCTACAGTTGTAAGGTTATAGTGTAGACCAGTAATTCTACAGTTGTAATTGTAGACCAGTAATTCTACAGTTGTAAGGTCACAGTGTAGACCAGTAATTCTACACAGTTGTAAGGTTATAGTGTAGACCAGTAATTCTACAGTTGTAAGGTCACAGTGTAGACCAGTAATTCTACAGTTGTAAGGTCACAGTGTAGACCAGTAATTCTACAGTTGTAAGGTATAGTAATTCTACAGTTGTAAGTAGTGTAGACCAGTAATTCTACAGTTGTAGACCAGTAATTCTACAGTTGTAAGGTCACAGTAGACCAGTAATTCTACAGTTGTAAGGTCACAGTGTAGACAGTAATTCTACAGTTGTAAGGTTACAGACCAGTAATTCTACAGTTGTAAGGTTAAGTGTAGACCAGTAATTCTACAGTTGTAAGGTCACCAGTAATTCTACAGTTGTAAGGTTACAGTGTAGACCAGTAATTCTACAGTTGTAAGGTCACAGTGTAGACCAGTAATTCTACAGTTGTAAGGTCACAGTGTAGACCAGTAATTCTACAGTTGTAAGGTTATAGACACACTGTGGTATATCAGTAATTCTACAGTTGTAAGGTTATAGTGCAGACCAGTAATTCTACAGTTGTAAGGTCACAGTGTAGACCAGTAATTCTACAGTTGTAAGGTTACAGTGTAGACCAGTAATTCTACAGTTGTAAGGTCACAGTGTAGACCAGTAATTCTACAGTTGTAAGGTCACAGTGTAGACCAGTAATTCTACAGGTGTAAGGTCACAGTGTAGACCAGTAATTCTACAGTTGTAAGGTCACAGTGTAGACCAGTAATTCTACAGTTGTAAGGTTACAGTGTAGACCAGTAATTCTACAGTTGTAAGGTTACAGTGTAGACCAGTAATTCTACAGTTGTAAGGTTACAGTGTAGACCAGTAATTCTACAGTTGTAAGGTCACAGTGTAGACCAGTAATTCTACAGTTGTAAGGTTATAGTGTAGACCAGTAATTCTACAGTTGTAAGGTTACAGTGTAGACCAGTAATTCTACAGTTGTAAGGTCACAGTGTAGACCAGTAATTCTACAGTTGTAAGGTTACAGTGTAGACCAGTAATTCTACAGTTGTAAGGTCACAGTGTAGACCAGTAATTCTACAGTTGTAAGGTTACAGTGTAGACCAGTAATTCTACAGTTGTAAGGTCACAGTGTAGACCAGTAATTCTACAGTTGTAAGGTTAGTGTAGACCAGTAATTCTACAGTTGTAAGGTCACAGTGTAGACCAGTAATTCTACAGTTGTAAGGTTATAGTGTAGACCAGTAATTCTACAGTTGTAAGGTTATAGACACACTGTGGTATATCAGTAATTCTACAGTTGTAAGGTTATAGTGCAGACCAGTAATTCTACAGTTGTAAGGTCACAGTGTAGACCAGTAATTCTACAGTTGTAAGGTTATAGACACACTGTGGTATATCAGTAATTCTACAGCTGTAAGGTCACAGTGTAGACCAGTAATTCTACAGTTGTAAGGTTATAGTGTAGACCAGTAATTCTACAGTTGTAAGGTCACAGTGTAGACCAGTAATTCTACAGTTGTAAGGTTACAGTGTAGACCAGTAATTCTACAGTTGTAAGGTTATAGACACACTGTGGTATATCAGTAAAGAATAACACAATCATGGATTTTGATAGTAAAACCAAACAATTTGGTTTTGTTTTAGAGTCTTGTCAGGTTGACAGAAGAAAGCTTTGTATGTTGTTACAACTTGTGCCTAATCTTTTTACCCAATTAATCAAATTTTGAAACGATAAAAACAAAGAGAACTGTTAAACAAAAATTACTCCAGGTACTTATAATGAACTCTTTACCTATAATAAATAATACAATATATCACAAATAAGTTACAAATAATGTTACCATGGTCTCTAAAAAGGTCCTAATTACTGTTCTACATGTAGTTGATTCTAATTACATTAATGATATGACTCTAACATGACATCAATTAATAATTACAAAAACAAAGGAAACATATGTTAATCAAATTTCAATTCAAATTTATTATAAATTATCATTACATTTAAGCTTATATAACTTCCAATAAAATATTGAGGGTTCTGCGTACAGAAACTTCCTTGTAGGAACACATAGACCCCTCCACCTGTCCCCACCTCCCCCCATCCCCTCCCCACTGTCTCACATACCTTCTCATCAACACAAGGACATGCCCAGTCCACTATACCCAAGCCTCTATATACAGAAACACAAACCCTCCTATACAGATATACACTGATCACCTCCATAGATACACAACTCTCTATAAAGACTACAGACATACCCAATTGATACAAATACGTTAATTCTCTCTATATAGACATACCCTATCTCTCTATACAGACACACACAATCCCTCTATACAGAAACGCCCAATCTCTCAATACATAGAGCCGAATCTCTCTATATAGACATGCCCACTCATTCGATACAGACACCCACTCTCTCTATATAGACACACCCACTCTCTCTATACAGACATGCCCACTCTCTCTGTAAAGACACGCCCACTCATTCTATACAGACACACCCACTCTTTTTATTCAGACACGCCATTCTCTTTATACAGACACACCCACTCTTTCTATACAGACACACCCATTCTCCCTATACAGACACGCCCACTCTCCTCATATCAACATAGCCACTCTCTCTTATTTGACACACCCACTCTCTTTATAGACATGCCAATTCTCTCTATACAGACACACCCATTCTCTCTATACAGACACACTCACTCTCTCTATACAGATATGCCCATTCTCTCTATACAGACACACCCACTCTTTCTATACAGACACTCTCTGCATATTTTAATGATACCTGTCTACCCTACCTTGAAATTTAAGATTCTTTTATTTTCTTCATTATACAATCTGCTCATTTGTAATATTTCATTTGAATGATAATATATTCAATCATGAATATAACCATTTGGGACACTTCTCAAAAAGGTACTTTTATGGAGTTCATCAAAATCTAAATTAAATTTAAATAGTATTTTAGAAAATTGTATTAAGTTATGTGTACATACATGTAGATAGTCTCGGGATACATTATCTGTTTGACAATCTCTTCCTGTGCTTAACAAAGTAATGTATATATAAATGAGGTAAGTAAAAAGATCCAAAGTGAATCACTTTTGATGAGAATACAAATAAACTAAAAACAAGATTTTAAAAACTGAATCAAACACACATGGATTTACTGGTAGATGATTGTGGACATCAATATTTCAACAGATTATCACAATTCTTCTACAGGCAACCGTCAGTCAATGGCACAATCTTTTTATTATGTACATTAACAGTCATGAGATTTGCTTTAGAGATGTACCTGTTTGTGAGACAAGTAACAATACACAACTTTCAAGTTTATCATTTAAATACATACATTGTATATATCTGTATTAGTTTTACCTACCAGTAAATACACATCAGTTAAATCATTCCATTTGGGGTTTTTTCCCTTAAAAGGACTTAATAATTACATTACATATTTTTTTCTGTGTGTTTGATTTCGGGCAAGTGTTATAATACTTGAAATAAGACTACCGGGTATTCACAAAATTAAAGCACTTTTTGAGAAAAACTGATCAAGATTTGTTGACCCTCGCTGTTGTATCTACTGCCATTTGCTGTTTTGATCAGGTGCAAAGACATTGTTTACACTCTCTGTAGGATAATGTTAAAAATTAGTGTTGTGTCGTTCTATTTTTATTTCAATTTCTTTGAGGTTTTAGATAAAATGGTAATGAAAACGTTTAAATATCATAATCAACTGAAAGTGCACAATTTCTTAAGGATATAAATGTGATAATGTTTTTTTTTAGTGATAAAATAAAAATCTAACCATTTAGTAACTTTAACCCTAAAAATAGCAAAAGGGGGCATAGGTTTCATGCTAGTGCTAACTAAGATTATTTTTAAAGACTGTGACTACAAATAAATAACAGCTGGCATATTCTGTGATATCCTGCATGAACTGCATACCCTAGCCTTGTGGAATATATGGTCCTATCTTTTTTAATCAGTGAATTTCCCCCTATTAAAACAGTCTTTAAAATTTTCAACCATAATCATGTTCAATTGTTTTTTAAACCATTATGGAAAATCCTCTTTGAATATCCAACCATTATGGAAAATCCTCTTTGAATATCCAACCATTATGGAAAATCCTCTTTGAATATCCAACAATGTGGAAATTTATTACAAATGTTTACATCACTCAATAAAACACAACAACTACATATCTAACATACATATACATCTGTATCTGCAAGATACTGAAAGTTGAAATTAAATAAAAATTCTCTCTTTTAAAGCATAAATGGAGTTCACAAATTTAAGACAGAATTTTTACTTAAATCCAATTTCAAATACCAATGTTTCGATATCACTAGTAAATGTACATATTTTAAACAGGAAGATGCAATTTGGAGGTCTTGGCACAGAACACACATAGCAATGTTATTGTCTCTTCAATAACTCGGCTCAGCTCTAGAATCCATAAGGCATGTACCACAGGAAACCGTGTTACATGGTGTAACACTGTCGCAGAAGAATGTGGGACCAAGCATCCGTAATAAGCAGAACACAGAGGGAACACTTGCCAATACAACAGTATTTGTGCAAATAGTCTTTTTTTTTAACAGATCTACAAGCACAGTGGTAAACATGTTTATAAATTCACAATAGATGAAGCCGTTGAAGACTTAAAATTGGGATGAAAATTTTTCACAATGAACACCTCTGATGTTTTCCTCCACAAAAAACTCTTTCTAAAATGGTCTGCTCATGAACATATCCCTTACTCGGTGAATTCCAGAAAGATTTATCACATTTCAACAAGAACTGAATTCTTTCTGTACCATAATGAAATCGCAGCACCTGGTTAGCAGTCTATACCACCATGGTACAGGTATCAGAGGAGTTTAGATAAGTCACTGGTGAAGAAGACCTAATATCTACTGGTGTTACACCTCCTGTTCCGACTCATTAATCAAAGGCTCATTCTCGATACTTCGATGACCTGCAAACAGGAAACAGAAACTTGTCAATTACATAATATCACATCCTGCAGTCAATTTAAATTTCATTCTATAAATAACATAGATTAAAGGTAATATTGATTTCATGGTTACAAAATGATACTGAATTTTTCAAAAATCATCAAAAAACCCAAGATCACAACTTTTTATTTTTCAATATTTTTAATTTCTCATAAAATTTTACTTTACTGTGACTTATCCGAATGTGAGTTTAATTTCATTCCGTACCCAAAACTTTATAAAACATTATCAATGTTTAAACTAATCCTTCCTAAAATATAGCAATGTTTAAACTAATCCTTCCTAAAATATAGCAATGTTTAAACTAATCCTTCCTAAAATATAGATACTTTTTGAATGTGATGGTGTTACTAGAGCTAAAAATATATAAAATTAATGAATAAATATCATTGAATTGAGAGACATTAATAGAGATAGGACACATTTTTTTCTCGGTCTTAATCAAACTGCTATATAATTGATAATACGCTGACATTCACACACCATTCCAGATATGGGGTATTCACTTAAATAATGTCCAGTCAAACCTTAACTAATCAAAATTATCTATATATCTATCTTCCATTCTGAAAGTTCTCCAACCACCAAACTTAAATTGAAGGCTCTTTAAAATTGGTGGAAATAAATGTTGGAATTATACAATAAATCAATAACTGTAATTAATTCTAGAAACAGATAAGGATCTTGACTTTCAACAAAGAACATTTAAATATTTTTTGGCAGTTTTTGTAGACTTTTTCTGAACATAAATTTCAGAAACAACTGAGTAGATCTAACTAAACTAATTTCTATACCACAATAGACATGTATATAGTTATATCATGCATTTTCCCGTATCCAACATAAGCCCATAACCCAACACAGTAATGTCATAGAGTCCTTCTAGCTCTGTCTCTGCAGATTATTGCAGAACTGCGTCTGTAATTGAGATGGGAGCCCCTGGGCCCCGGCAGATCCTCTATAAGTTGTAACATAGCAGTAACATGACATACATGTATATAGTACGCTGGGCCCCGGCAGATCCTCTATAAGTTGTAACATAGCAGCAATATGACATACATGTATATAGTACACTATTTTCCTACAACACAGAATCATTAACTACGTAGGAAAGCTGAATTCCTCCTAAGTGAGATGTTTAAAACTTACAGAAAGGTATGTAATTATTTCATCATGTTGATATACCTGTTTAAAATTGATATTTTTTTCTTTAACTGATTCTTTCATATTTTTTCTATTATTATTATTTTTAACTTTGACAAAGACAAAATATGCTGTTAACTGTTAACTGAAATTTTTCTCACCATTTTTTAAGGTTTTTCTTTCCGAAATATTCAGTAAGATAAAAACTGAAATCCCTGGGCATGTGTACATGTAGGTAATCAAGACATTTTTTCCTAAGACTGTCCCTTTTAAATAAATACCTCCAATCTTGTATTTTTATATACATTTATATGAGGTGCAGTATATAATATTATAAAGTGCTGTTGTGGTTAAAGTATATGTTTCTAAATCTGACAATGACAATAAACGAGATATAGGAATAGTTGTCTCCACTTCAATGACAAGTACAGCATATGTATGAAACATCTGACTGAACACGTTTGATATCTTAGAGTCATCATTTGTAACTTTTCACAGAGACCAGTTTAATCTGACAATGTGAGACCCTGACATTGTGGTCACATTTACCTGTCTAATCTGACAATGTGAGACCCTGACATTGTGGTCACATTTACCTGTCTAATCTGACAATGTGAGACCCTGACATTGTGGTCACATTTACCTGTCTAATCTGACAATGTGAGACCCTGACATTGTGGTCACATTTACCTGTCTAATCTGACAATGTGAGACCCTGACATTGTGGTCACATTTACCTGTCTAATCTGACAACATGCAGGATCTGCATAATGTTAATAATCTCCAAATATGGTAAATTCCCTTCCATAAATCCTTAATATTTTCAGTAAATTGACAAAAATAAAAAAAAACAAAACCCACTTCTTATATTTGAAAAAGAACAAGATGCAATTATAGTTATTTAAGAACAAAAAATTAAGACTATCCTCAAGGGGAGGGGGGGGGAATGAAGCAATATTTGTCTCCATTCAACTGAAGAGGAGAGATAAATGGGATGAGAAGAGTGGCTCCTTGTCAAATGAAAAGACATAAACCATGATAAACAAGGACAATGACTTAATTCCACACTGAAGGGAAGACAAAGGGAAACACAAGGATGGTATACAATCCTCAATGAAACAAAATACTGATATTAAAGCGTTTTCTCCATTGAAGGGGAGACAACCAGGGTCAATAAAGATGATAGCTACTCACTTCCTCTGCTGGACAGGAAATAGTCTGGACAATTCATACATCTTTTATTTGTTTTTAATTACGATGAATTATGTAGTATTTAATCAGATAATAGTCAACAAGTTTCCAAGTGCTATAACACTAGCACAAATCACAGGTGCAATATGTCAGGTAGCATACATCCTTAAGATAAGAATGATATCCTGTCATTGCAAGAAATCAAGTGAAATTTTATAACAGACATTATATGTTACCTTTTTTGGTTCATGTAAGAAAGAATTTGATAAATATATGAGATATACAAACATGGTATCAAAATAATAAGACGATCTAAAAAGTACAGGACAAGATTAAAAGATAACAGAACACCACAACCATGGATCTATAATCTACACAAGTATCAAGTTATTTAACCAATGTCCATACAAAAGTGTAATACATCTCTAGATACACAGCTGTCATCTCAAGCTAAGACAGTGATGCAAACTCACTTCAGTATATTGTGAAAGTTTTGCAGGTGGTTAGAAATCATTTTGCCATCTTGTCATTAAGCAGGATAAAGTTTTACGTTCAAGGTTAACATTTGTTTCTGTATTTTTTTCAATGACAAATTTCAGACTTGGTGAAAATAGCATGTTGATGTGAATGCCAGAAAAATTGTCGGTGAATGATTCCCTGTAAACAGTGATGGCCTTACACGCTATTTATCAGATACAAGCATTGGTTATCACAATAAATAAGTAACAGATATGTCAGAGTAATGTGTCGAGCTTACTTGGTCTAAAGCATGAGAAACTAATGAGACCAATCAGTCTTGAAAAACTGAGACATATTTACATGTATACTGGAAAATGCAGAATAGTCATAAAAGCAAATAAAAAAAATACCCTCATTAATTTGTGATGGAATGTATCACATACCTGATTCTTGATTAAAAGTTTCAACAGTTGAAGATGCATGTCGAGAGCTGCCCTTCCCTACGGAGCTGTGTGGACTCTCCGGTACAAATATAGCTACAAGCAATGCCATTATGACTAGGATGGTTCCAAATGCAAATGGAGGACCAGGGATCAAACTCTGAAAACCAAAATAAAACTAGATGTTGTAGAAGGTTAATCATTTAGTTGTATAAACCTAGCTCACCTTAATATCCTCACATTTTAATATCAGTATCAGTGACAATTGTCTGAAAATTTTGAAAATACATACAGTTGGTCTGCTTTTTTCTGAAGACAATCTTATACTTAAAAGGTACCCAAGAATCGATCATCTTAAATGATCTGATAATTTAGATAATTAAAATATCTAGGGGCAGCAACTCTCATTTTTAATATGTCTACATTTAATGGGAATAAAGTGACTATCTATACCTGAAGAAATGACCACTGGTCAGTGCTTACCTCTTCTGAATTGACTGCCGTGGCATTAGTGGGCGGAGGATCCTTTAGGTCCACTTGGAACAGGTAGAAAATGAAGCCAAACATGGCCGGACCAAAGCCATTACATAATCCTCGTATACCAGTGATAATACCTTGGGCCACACCTGCAGTAGAAATAATACATATTGCTATTTTCTAATTTCTTCAGTTCCTTTGTCAGAAAAACTTAGTAGTAGCTCTAGATTGTTCCTGCTTTTATTAAAAAGTAGCTTGGAATTAAAAACAGCAGAAATTAAGGTAATTAACAGTCCTACAATCAACAGGATCCCCACTACAGATTCAAAGGTTAAGTCCTTAAGTGGCAATGAACTTTGACCTATTTTCAAGTAAAAACGTTGATGTTTATGCTTGAATGACTTTTTGATAAAGTTATGTAAAGAATAAAGAAATAATTATGTGAGAAACAATACAGAAAATATGTCAGAATTCAACAAGAAACTAGAATAATTCCACAGGACAGCAGCAGGTAGGGGACTGGGCTTATTATATGACATGAGTTTACCTCCAGATAAACATGGTCGGTATTGTAAATCGTAGTTCTGCTGTATATTTGTTTTGTTCAAATACCTATATGTTGATTTTTCAAATCATTCTGGTGTCTGAGTTTTATAAAAACAGCGGGGAAGAAGACAAAGATAATGTATTGGTGTTGAAATGCTTAAAATACACACGACCAATTACCAGCGACACCAATATATGTACCCCGACATACTTTTGTCACATACACATTTAATGGACAACTTTTCTGTGGAAAAAGCAAGACAGGTCTTCGACTGCAGGGCAAGTAATGAATACAAAGTAGGGCTGTAACCTTGTGAAACAGACTGTCTACTCCGTCATAAGTCTAACCTTATATAACAGTCAAGTACAATCATAGTGGAGAATGAATGGGCAAATAGCACTCTCATTCTAAATAGACACATCAATTTACAACCATTTGTATTCAATATCTTCACCATTATTCAATGCTGCCGTTGCATTTACAATTATAATACCCTAGAATTTAGATTGAACAATATCATTACAGTGTATATTATAACGAAATATGACTCACAGATAAGCAAGGTGCAGAGAAAACTGGTCTGTCACAACCTTATAATTACACGACTTTGAACACGAAACATGTGAGTCATTGTTAGGATCACACCAGACACAAGGTGGCGGTAATTTACTGAGGGCTATTAAGAGGTACTGCAAGACCAAAGCTACAGACAAGTCGGCCGTAAAAACTCTAATACCTCCATAACCAGACGCTGAAGATGATCCATAACTTGTATAACCTCCCTTTTATACACACAAGCCAAAATAAAATGCATATAATTTAAGTAAATCATGCGACAGACAAATTTGATATGGTTTCAGTGATGAATTGCTGTACAGATTCACATCAAAACAGACCAGTATTTAAAAAGTTGAGACAGATCGTGATAATACCACAATAAACATGACTTATGGATGCGGATTATATTTGGGAGAGGGGGGGGGGGGTTCTTCCACTGAATAATTGTGTCAGAAGAAAGACAACTCCAGCATGATCATGACAATCAAACTGTGTTTGGACAATCAGATCAGAAGCTACCATTATACTAGTTTATGTAAGTCTGCAGTTTTCATTTCAACACAAAGTGTCAAGACTAACAAGAATCTACTGTACACACAAACCAAAGTGTCCAGACTAACAAGGTTCTAATGTACACACAAACCAAAGTGTCCTGACTAACAAGGTTCTACTGTACACACAAACCAAAGTGTCCAGACTTACAAGGTACTACTGTACACACAAACCAAAGTGTCCTGACTTACAAGGTTCTACTGTACACAAACCAAAGTGTCCACACTAACAAGGTTCTATTGTACACACAAACCAAAGTGTCCAGACTAACAAGGTTCTACTGTACACAAACCAAAGTGTCCAGACTAACAAGGTTCTATTGTACACACAAACCAAAGTATCTAGACTAACAAGGTTCTACTGTACACACAAACCAAAGTGTCAACCCTAACAAGGTACTACTGTACACAAACCAAAGTATCTAGACTTACAAGGTTCTACTGTACATACAAAACAAAGTCATTAAAAGAACTAGATGTGTTTATGAAACACTATGCCCCTGATTACAACAAACTTCTGAAGCCGTACTGTGTAAGGCATGTGCTAATTGCATGCACACTTTGTGAAACACTTGTGCCTCATTGTGGTCTGAACTCACACTTATATTTGTTTACTAAGATAATGAGCAAAATTGCAAATTAATAAATATTTGCACCTGATAATGAATGGGCAGTTTTCAAATGTATGTCAAAGGTCACAGTCAAGGCCACATTGTAAAAATAAATTTGCTCCACTTTTCCAGAATCTAAACACACAGAAATATCAAGGATTACCTCTTACGGTGTAAACACAAATCAAAGTGTCCAGACTAACAAGCATCTACTGTACACACAAACCAAAGTATCCAGACTTACATGGTTCTACTGTACATAAACCAAAGTGTCCAAACTAACAAGGTTCTACTGTACACAAACCAGTGTCCAGACTAAAAAGGTTCTACTGAACACAAACCAAAGTGTCAACCCTAACAAGGTACTACTGTACACAAACCAAAGTATCCAGACTTACAAGGTTCTACTGTACACACAAACCAAAGTGTCCAGAGTAACAAGGTCCTACTGTACACACAAACCAAATTGTCCACACTAACAAGGTTCTACTGTACACACAAACCAAATTTTCCAGACTAACAAGGTTCTACTGTACACACAAACCAAAGTATCCAGACTTACATGGTTCTACTGAACACAAACCAAAGTGTCCAAACTAACAAGGTTCTACTGTACACAAACCACAGTGTCCAGACTACAAAGGTTCTACTGTACACAAACCAAAGTGTCAACCCTAACAAGGTACTACTGTACACAAACCAAAGTATCCAGACTTGCAAGGTTCTACTGTACACACAAATCAAAGTGTCCAAACTAACAAGGTTCTACTGTACACACAAACCAAAGTATCCAGACTTGCAAGGTTCTACTGTACACACAAATCAAAGTGTCCAAACTAACAAGGTTCTACTGTACACACAAACCAAAGTGTCCAGACTTGCAAGGTTCTACTGTACACACAAACCAAAGTGTCCAGACTAACAAAGTTCTACTGTACACACAAACCAAAGTGTCCAGACTAACAAAGTTCTACTGTAAACACAAACCAAAGTGTCCTGAATAACAAAGTTCTACTGTACACACAAACCAAAGTGTCCAGACTAACAAGGTTCTACTGTACACTAACCAGTGCCCAGAATAACAAGGTTATTTACACATGGCCAAAAGGAAGACTTGTAGGCAAGGTTGGTTTGTAATATGTGATTCTATCTCTGTAGTCTTTCTCATGAGATCCAGATCACAGATCTACCTATATGTCCCCAGTGTATCCTTGAGTAAAAACACCCTGATGAATGGCATGTTGTAAGCCTCCATGTGGTGTTCAGTGTAAATAATTGCTTCTCAATTCTTACCTAAGCTCAATTCCTTGTAGTTTGAAACTTTACATTAGATATATCTGTGAGACCATAATTATAAAGCTCAATTTCATTGATAATTTCAATATTCTAGAGACAGTGGCTAGTCTACCGCACAACGCCAAGTAAATAATAACTAATTTTATATGGATATGTCCAATTTCAGACAAAGAAGTTAACACAACAGTAACTGTAAATATTCCTGGTACAGTGGACTGTGACAGAAGAAAATCCAAGCATTTTTGTCACATAAAACTCCACCATTAACCTCAAATTTGTTACAATTACATTAGTTACACAATAAGAAAGTGTCAATTCACAACAAGAGCACCCTGGGCAGAACAACATACGCCCATGCCGGCCAAATATTCAGGATTTGATGAGTAGAAAAGAATACAAATATGGGAATGATTTTCAGTCAAAACATCCAGAGGAAAAGCAGTGATGTGTGGTTTTATATAGTGATAAGGTAATACAAGTTCTAAAGAGATGAGTAGAAAACTGCTGAAGTGATGTGTGGTTTAATATTGTGATAAGGTAATACAAGTTTTAAAGAGATGGGTAGAAAACTGCTGAAGTGATGTGTGGTTTTATATTGTGATAAGGTAATACAAGTTCTAAAGAGATGGGTAGAAAACTGCTGACATGATTAAAATACTTAAAAAGAACTAAGAGCAATAGGTTTCTGAAATATTTTTAAATCAAAATACTATTTATGAGAATACAATCCCATGTTGTGGTTTTCCAAGAAATTGATAAAAAACTTACTCCTTCAAAAATTGTTGAATCAAATTGTTTAAAAAAAGGACTTTTTGTCAAAGTGATTTAAGCCTCCAATATTTGAAATAAATAAACTGAAAACTGAGAGAGATGATCTTTGGATAAGATTAACATTACGTAAACAAAACAGGGCAGTAACTCTAATAAATACAGTTGAATCAAACTGCCATTCAGGACAACTTTGACTTTGATTAAATCAACTTCAGACAAAATAAGAAAACAATACATCACAGCATTCAAGTAAAGTGCTCTCTTAAATTTATATTAAATACAAACAAATTATATGTATAAATAACATCAACAATTACAAAACAGTACCAAACACATTATTCATGTTCTAAAAACACAGCATAGCAGATTCATAAGATTTGCAAGAAAAAATATCATTCATTCTTTCAGGAGAAATACTTATCAATACTACTGAGGATTGTTTTCCAAAGAGGCTCATGATGATCTGGTTACATTTGCTGAAGTTGATTTATTTAAACTATAGGAAAAGTATTTAAAACACTATATCTTATATATGTTTTCCCTATTAGGCCCTGCCCCTCTGGGCAAAGGGTGTTATAGGGTCTGTTTACACAAACAGATCAAACATGGACAGAACTGAATCATTCCAACTGAAGAAGAATTTTGAAGAATTTCCTGTATTGCCACTATTGGGCCATCCCACCTTTCCCAACCAAGGAGGCCAAAACCATGAAACTCAATGTTTATACAAAATTGATCCCCTTCACCCAAGCATGCCTCAGACTAAATTGGGACAGAATCCAGGCATTCTTATAGAAGAATGATTATAAAGAATTAGCTCTATATCAATTATTAGCCATACCATTCTGCCCCAGGGGACCAATACAAAATGTATTACTCTCCATCCAAAAATTCTGCAGACTTAATTTGGGCAAACTCCAGACATTCCTACAAGAGAAGTCAGATAGAATTTGCTCTGCTTTCCTATTGGATCCTCCCATTCCACCAAATTTGGTCAAAATCTGCTTGGTCATTCATGAGTAGTAGTGATTTATAGGAAATGTTGACAGAGGAACAGGCCATGTAAACTAAAAACAATGAACATTAATACAGCAAAGTGATAACAAAGTGGGAGAGAGTTTGGAGGGACGTTATTGTTGAAGAACAGGAAAAGAGGTAAAACAAGATGTCCTCTTACCTTGTTGGTCTGCAGAAGAATGTGATGAAGCAAATGCACTAATGGCTGGATAGGTTACACTGGACATGGCTGCCATACAGCCAGCCACCCACATAATCCTGTAAATACAAACAGTGGAGAAATTATACTCCAGACATGGCCACCATACAGCCAGCCACCCACATAATCCTGTAAATACAAACAGTGGAGAAATTATACTCCAGACATGGCCACCATACAGCCAGCCACCCACATAATCCTGTAAATACAAACAGTGGAGAAATTATACTCCAGACATGGCCACCATACAGCCAGCCACCCACATAATCCTGTAAATACAAACAGTGGAGAAATTAAACTCCAGACATGGCCACCATACAGCCAGCCACCCACATAATCCTGTAAATACAAACAGAGGAGAAATTAAACTCCAGACATGGCCACCATACAGCCAGCCACCCACATAATCCTGTAAATACTATCAGTGGAGAAATTATACTGAAGCTATACTTGACTTAACTTTGCCTATGGTTGGCATGAAACCAGACTTCTGTACAGTCCAACCTATCGCTGTAGGATATCTCAATAAAGTTACTATAATATAGGAGTATGAAGAATACAGATAGAACAATTTTATGATTTGAATGAAGTGAAGGTTTGTTACCCCCCAAAAAAATGCTAATAATTTTGTACTTATTTGTTATAATGAATTAAGCTATAACCAATTATTGTTTATCACAAAGATTTAAGTTCATGGTCCACTTGTTTATTACAAAGTTATTAAGTTCAGGGTCCACTTGTTTATTACAAAGTTATAAAGTTCATGGTCCACTTGTTTATTACAAAGTTATAAAGTTCATGGTCCATTTGTTTATTACAAAGTTATAAAGTTCATGGTCCACTTGTTTATTACAAAGTTATAAAGTTCAGGGTCCATTTGTTTATTACAAAGTTATAAAGTTCATGGTCCACTTGTTTTTTACAAAGTTATAAAGTTCATGGTCCATTTGTTTATTACAAAGTTATAAAGTTCATGGTCCACTTGTTTATTACAAAGTTATAAAGTTCAGGGTCCATTTGTTTATTACAAAGTTATAAAGTTCATGGTCCACTTGTTTATTACAAAGTTATAAAGTTCAGGGTCCATTTGTTTATTACAAAGTTATAAAGTTCATGGTCCACTTGTTTATTACAAAGTTATAAAGTTCATGGTCCATTTGTTTATTACAAAGTTATAAAGTTCATGGTCCACTTGTTTATTACAAAGTTATAAAGTTCATGGTCCAATTGTTTATTATAAAGTTATAAAGTTCATGGTCTACTTGTTTATTACAAAGTTATAAAGTTCATGGTCCAATTGTTTATTATAAAGTTATAAAGTTCATGGTCTACTTGTTTATTACAAAGTTATAAAGTTCAGGGTCCATTTGTTTATTACAAAGTTATAAAGTTCATGGTCCAATTGTTTATTATAAAGTTATAAAGTTCATGGTCTACTTGTTTATTACAAAGTTATAAAGTTCATGGTCCAATTGTTTATTATAAAGTTATAAAGTTCATGGTCTACTTGTTTATTACAAAGTTATAAAGTTCAGGGTCCACTTGCTTGATAAAGTTTTATTAGTTTAGGGTCCACTTGGTTAATGAAAATTATCAGTTCAAGGCCTGCAGTACTGTCAAAATGTTTTTAAGCATATTCAATTTCTAAAAATAAATGTAATGCTGACATTAAAAATGTTCTTAAATCATATTTTCATAATTTATCGTATTTTCCGGACTATACAGGGCTCTCGATCTGCCAGATTTGGGGTCAAATTTCGGCCCCATTCCCAATGCAAAATAGTATCTTTTTTTCCCTATTTAGACCCCAAGTTTTCCCAATTCTAAGGAAAAGCCGCTATTTTTCCGAATTCTAAGGGCCCCGGGCCCCAGTCCCAAAATGGTGTTTGTGAGAGCCCTGCTATAAGATGGACTTTTTCCTCGTGACTGTGGTGTGCTATTTATATACCAGTGCTGCTTATATGTGGACATTAAAAAAAAACGGAAAATACAGTAATTGGTTTTCCAAGGAATGATGATTTTTATTGTATGTTAAATGCTACAAGGGAAATGAAATTGAATTCAACAAAATATTTGACCAAATGATAAGAATAAACTAGATGAGTACAAAAGATTTACCATTAAGTTACAAAAGTCTACACCACACAAAAGATCTATATATAATTAGTATGTTTACAACTTGATCACATTCAGTTTAAGATGGTGATAGTCCAGAAAAAATGGAATTATTTTAGTGATGTTTGCTTATTATGAATTTTATCAGTTTGAACAAAAATTCATGTAAATTTTTCTACAAATTAAGGGTATATCAAAGTGATTGTCCCCTGGCATGTGTTATCAGTAAATTTTATTGTAGAGCAAGTTTGTGAATAATGTTGGTGAAACACTGTTCAGTTGTTTAATTTGTGAATTAAATTTCATATGACATTTGTTGAGGGGAGTGGGGTTAAAAATGCTTATAATTACATTTCTGTTAGATTATAAGTGATGAATATGGTAGGTCTAACAAATTCAATATGGAAATATTGTCACCAATATAACCAGTATGTAAACTCACCAGTCCTGAGATCCAAAACCATAGCAGGCCAACTGTATGATCTCAAACACCAGCCCAAACATAATGGCTCCTTTATGACCAAGATACTTCATTAAAACAGTCAATATCAAGGTCTGAAACAAACAATAGGGTTGATTAATATCAACAAAATCAACATTACAGGCAACAATACTTACTTCACCAACGACAAGATGTCTACTAAAGATATATCATTTATACTGTTTTTTACATCAATACTGTATTCACATCAATACTGTATTCACATCTATACTGTTTTTTACATAAATACTGTTTTTACATCTATACTGTTTTTTACATCAATACTGTATTCACATCAATACTGTTTTCACATCAATACTGTTTTCACATCAATACTGTTTCACATCAATACTGTTTTTACATAAATACTGTTTTTACATCTATACTGTTTTTTTACATAATCTACATCAATACTGTTTTTACATAAATACTGTTTTTTTTACATCTATAATGTTTTTACATTTATAATGTTTTTACATAAATACTGTTTTTACATCTATACTGTTTTTTACATCAATACTGTATTCACATCAATACTGTTTTCACATCAATACTGTTTTTTTTACATCAATACTGTTTTTACATTTATACTGTTTTTACATTTATACTGTTTTTACATCTATAATGTTTTTACATTCATAATGTTTTTACATCAATACTGTTTTTACATTTATACTGTTTTTACATCTATAATGTTTTTACATTCATAATGTTTTTACATCAATACTGTTTTTACATTTATACTGTTTTTACATCTATAATGTTTTTACATTTATAATGTTTTTACATCAATACTGTTTTTACATCTATACTGTTTTTACATAAATACTGTTTTTACATCTATAATGTTTTTACATAAATACTGTTTTTACATAAATACTGTTTTTACATCAATACTGTACTATTTTTACATATCTACATGAATACTGTTTTTACATAAATACTGTTTTTTTTTTACATCTATAATGTTTTTATCTAAATACTGTTTTTGCATTAATACTGTTTTTACATTTATACTGTTTTTACATGAATACTGTTTTTACATCTATACTGTTTTTACATGAATACTGCTTTCATGGTACACTCTGTCAGGACAATACTTACTTGAGCAATAACAGACAGGACTCCCACTAATGCTATAAAGGAAGCAACAGTTTCAGCCGAGAAACCCATTCTCTGAAAGGATAAACAGATTTATGTCACAGCTACTATAACACCACTTCTATGTTCAGTTTTCCCCACTGTACATTCTTGATTAAATATTCCTTAATTCGAAACAGTAAACCTCAATATACTGGAGAAATGTAGAATATCAATCTATGATGTTATTTTCTTTGGAAATCACTTTCTTCCATCCTGATATTTACATCAGATTCTGTAGTTTATAAACATCCTACTGTTGTTTCTAAATTATTACTTAGGACAAGTAAACCAGAATATCATTTTACCATCACGCACATCAGTATTGTACATCAATGTAGTTATCCAGAAATAAGCCTGTGTCAGATAATAAGACCATCTCACCCATTCATTTCATTGTCCACCAATAAGCCCATCATTTATCAGAATTTGTATGATGGCCCATGGGCTTTCTGCAGGATGTGAAAGCTAAGGAGAATGTGTTAGTTTTTTATAGACCTGTAAAGAAGGGCAACTTCGAGGTTTCTGGTTTTTAAACTTGTTTTTCTGATTGTGGGACATGTTATGCATTCTATACTAACTCACCGGTCTAAAACAGACAAGGAAACAGGAATATTCTCCAGCCTCGGGAAGATAGGACAAGAACACAGCTACACATAGTAACAATATCAGCTATATATACTCACCAGTCTAAGATAGACAAAGAAACAGGAATATTCTCCAGCCTCGGGAAGATAGGACAAGAACACAGCTACACATAGTAACAATATGAGCTGATCCTGTCCAATCTTCTTCAGCGCCTGAGGATGTAAATAAATAATCATGGTTTTAATAGAAAGTTGTACATTATGATTTATCAGCACCATATATAGATACAAATGAACTATAAACTCCAAGCCTGTGATCAGGGACAGAAACTATGGTTAGCGACCAGTTACTGATCAAAGAAGGATAACTCTTAATCAGAAAGCAAAACCCAATGTTTGAAAGGATTTCATAAAATTCAAAGTTGTCCATACATGTATATCAAGCTTTCTGAATACATAAATAACACAAAAACTCTGTAAGAAATTCTCAAACTATACACTTAGGTCCCCCAGTTATAAAACATCTAGCACAAACCCAGCCCAAAGTCTAACATCTCAGTTTCTCTTATAGATATTGTTCTGCTGTTTTAGAAATAGTTTGAAAACATCACAAATGAAACGATTCTATAAAAAGTAATCGTAAACATGTGAATTATCAAGATGTACTATTTAAGGGTTGATTGTTAAAATATTCTTTAATAGCTGATCAGTCAATTTTCCTAAATTTCTATACCGTAGTAGTAACAGAAAAAGTGATTAAAAGAAGATAAGTCATCAGCCTGCTACATTTCAAAATAAAGATAAGTTTTTTCAAGTGATAATCTCAAATTTTATATAGAGTACAATCATCCATTCAAGTTTATCAGGCTCATTTCAATATCTTCCTGTAAACAGTTTCTGAGGACAGAAATAACATTTAGTACATACTTCAATAAACGATTGTGTCTTCCTTATTTATTCTCATAAATAATACTTACCCCAAAAGGGTCTGCCTTGTCCCAGGAGATCTGGGAGCCCCAACTGGCTGGCCTAAGTTTCTCTGGCAAGGATTCTGGCACAGCTACTAAGATAAAAAAGATGTCCAGTAAAGCTACAGCTGTGGCCAGCCACACAACCAAGTTTTCGCTGTAGGCTTGTTCCAGGTATGACCCTAAGGCAGGACTGGTTACCAGGCTAGCAGCAAACGTAGCTGACACCTACATAGAACATATATAAACAATAGAAATAAGTAGGTTATACCTACATTCTGTACACAAACAATATACAAAGCAAACATACATTATTTAAACAAGTAACTGTTACCAGACGGTTAGTATACAGTCAATATGAAATAAATTCACAGAACAGATTTGATATATTGTCAGATCAGAATAAAAATCATGGAATTCGTATGAGCTTACATGTTTGACTCTAAAGATGTTCTGTTTTAAAATTCTGAGATGAAAATGGAAATATTAAATTGTTTACAGATGCTTGATACATGTTGCATGACGTCAGATGTGATCACAATAGATCACCCTGAGACTTTGTCTAAGGTGACAGAAAAGTACACAGGAAAAGGAAGTTGTCTTGAAGGAGAAAATAAGAAGTTGTTAAAGATTTTAACACATTGGACCCCTTTGAACTTGAAAGCAGGTTGAGGTCATCTATTTGAACAAACATGCTACTGGCCTATTACCATGACCCTAAGCTTTTTGGTAATAAGATGAAGCGGAAAATTGTAAATTGTTTACAACACATGACATATGATGTTAGACAAACTGTTATCGCAATAGGTCACTTGAGACCTTGTCACAGCTAACCTAAAATCAGAATACAGGCATCAAATACAGGGTACTTTAAACCTACACAATAATACACAAAATAATAATTTAGACAGGAAAAGGAGGTAGACTGATGGAGAAAACCAGGCACCAAATACAGGAAATCTGGTAGATGACAGGTATTTAAGCTATATCACGATATTTTTATATCATTTTATTTTCTATATCTCCGTATTCTGTGGACATGCTTTTGATGCTATTTTTATGAACGAATCATGGTCAAAGTCCTATGATAAAAGAGTAATGAAGAAAGTGTGAAACCTGACCAATGCTACATGTCATCCGTTTTACCTGTAAATCCCTCGCCAAAACTCCCAAGTTGTCATAGTTAGAAAGACAAATCCCAAGTCTGATGGAAAGCTTCCAAATGGTTGGTTTTCTTACTGTTCTGAGAGTAACATATTAAGAATCTGACCATGAGGGTTGAAAGCTCTGATTCTAGTGTTGTCATTGTAATGAAATAAGCATTTCAGACATTTGAACATAAACTTTATTAACACAAACTCTCAGTTGCACAATATCACACCACTAATAATTAGGGGCCATCACAGTGTCAGTCCAAGAGTGTAAAAGTTGTCTCTATTGCAGTAACTTTAGCCTGTCTACACCAAAATTGGTACAAAAACTTCAAGAATCTACATCAGATTTCTGAGTCATCCATCTGCTGATGTGTTACACATGACTTACCAGACCATAGGCCTGTCCTCTGTCTTCTTCTGTTGTAACATCTGCCACATAGGCAAACACGACACTGAACGTCACAGAAAATATCCCCGATATAGAAATCATGGCAAAGTACCACCTATGAATTTAAAACCAATGGTGAATTAATATGTTATTTGTTATATACTGGTAAGTGTAATTCTGAAATATCTAAACAAAAATCACAGCAGAAGGTATAAAACGTTTTAATACATTAGCAATCAATAATCAGCTATGTGTTCTGCACAGGTGACTATCTACTCGGTGTATGTATTGACTAATTTCATCAGAAGACATGCCGATGTTTTGGCAAAAATTAATTCCTTGACAACGAGTGACTTTTCCCTTGCTTTCCAATTGAACGGACTGAAAAATCACTTTGACTCAACAGAAATTCCGACTCAATGAAATTTGAATCATCCAAACTGAAATCACAAAGATATAGAAGGAAAAAAAATTGGGACTTGAAAATTGTTTCAACTCTCAGCAAAATATCGACTTTGATTTCAAGACAACAAGTTTCAACTTTATAAATGTTAATCACTGCTCCACTTCTGGATATTTTACAAAAACAAGAGGCCCAAGGACCTTAACGGTCATCTGACTACAAAACCTTTCAGCAGGGAGAAGGGTTATTTTTCTACTCTGAATGATTGAGCAATCATGTTACAAAATGGCCTTCCTAGCTGCTGTATCGAAGTTTTGACTAGGTCGAAAAATAACAACACTTTGTTGGCTACGTTTCCTTAACATTCCCTCCAGTTTTTGGTTCAATGGCACAAATGGAACTGGAGAAGAAGTTGAAAACATGTTTTTCAAGATGGTGGCCATCTTGGAGTTCAGACATACCCGAAAAATAACAATATTTGGTCAGGAGCATCTCAGGATCATTTCATGAAAGTTTGAGCTCAATCCCACTGGTGAAACTTGAGAAGAAGTTTGAAATAGGTGTTGCACAGGAAAACCATAATAGTCGATTATGTTACAAGATAGCCTCCCTGGCTTACCTATCGAAGTTTTGACAAAGTAAAAAAATAACACTTTGAAGTTTTAAGTATATTTTTCAAGATGGCAGCCATGGTGCATGATAATGGACAAAGCATGATGGCAATAGGTCATCATAACACTTCAGGTCAGATGACCTTAAAATGGCAATAAAGACAAACTCATCATTTACATTCCTCTTTAATACATATATATGTATACATAAGACATCAATCTATGGCTAACACACTTACATTGGGCTTATCTTCATTAGAGGGATCGGGGCACAGGTAAAGGACACTGTTAGGAGCAGAAATGTCTTCCTGCCCCATACATCTGATAATGCTCCAATCAGAGGGGCACTCAGGAAGGATAACATTCCCTGTAAAAATATGACAAGTAAAAAATCTGGTTGATGGTGTTGATGTGTTTACAGAGATAATATCTACTGAAGACCCTGATTTACTCAACAAAATAATTCAAAATAAATCAAATCACAAGAACTTTCTGTATTATCTGTGTCCATATCCTATGGAATTATTTTGCCTTGAAAATGATGAACATATATGTGACTCCTGAGTCCTGTACTCATAGAGTTTTAATGGGACATATAGAATCTTAATGGGACATATAGATTTTCAATGGGACACAAAGAATTTCTGATAATTTTAATGGGACATATAGAATTTCTGGTAGTTTTAATGGGACACAAAGAATTTCTGGTAAATACTTTTCAATATCTAGATACTGTATGATTAGGTATGTATTACAGGTGATGCTGTTGTATAAAATCTTACCTTAACACCTGTTATTAACCCATTAAGTAGGAGGGTATGATTTGGAAAAGTCTCGTTCAGGACCTGAAAAAAACTTAAATATTAATATTTTTTCTCAAGCCCATCACTTAAAACAAAACTTACAGTTAAATGACTGTTTAAATTGTAAATAAAGGATTTTTAATATTTCCAGGGAAAACTTGTAATAACCCAGTCAACAGTTGACCGGTGCAGAACACCTGAATGTGCCCAAGTACTCCAACAGTTGCTGGTGTCACTAATCATGACATATCTTACGTATATCGTGAAAGAAAATACAAGTGTATTGGCATCAATGGCTTCTATCTTATTATTTCAAATAATTCAAGTAACAAAACAGGTGTTTCACGCCTTTTATATAAGTCAAAATTTAAACCTATTTCCCCTTGGTGTTGGTCTCAACACGTCTGGAAACTGTGTTGGTCTCAACACCTCTGGAAACTGTGTCAGACTTAACCCCATCTCGGAACTTTATTGGTATCAATATCTCTTGAAACTGTGTTGGTCCCAACACCTCCATCCCTGATACTCCAGGAATTACAATCACCTCCACTCTCTGCACTCTTCAAACATTTCATGGCAAAATTGAAACACAAGTGAAGTAATTTTATCAATTCCAGGAGAAAAAAACTGACCAATCACAGGCTGGTATGCTCCTTTTGAAGATAACAAAGGAGCTATACCCCTCTTCAAAGCCACTAGCAGATACTGTTATGGGACCTCGAGATTTGTTTGATGCACATCAGATAATCAAACTAGTCTTTTTGTCTTGTCTACAAAGTGTTGCACATGGACCCTTCAATTTTCCCTTGATATGTTCCCAGGGAGCAGAGAGTGAACATGATCCCCTAGAGTATCAGGAATTCAACACCTCTAGAAACTGTCTTGGTTTAAACACCTCTGGAAACTGTCTTGGTTTAAACACCTCTGGAAACAGTGTTGGTTTAAACACCTCTGGAAACAGTGTTGGTTTAAGCACCTCTGGAAACTGTGTTGGTTTAAACACCTCTGGGAACTGTGTTGGTCTCAATACCTCTGGGAACTGTGTTGGTATCTATACCTCTGGGAACTGTGTTGGTATCAATACCTCTGGGAACTGTGTTGGTATCAATACCTCAGAGAACTGAGTTGGCATCAATACCTTTGGGAACTGTGTTGGTATCAATACCTCTGGGAACTGTGTTGGTCACAATACCTCTGGGAACTGTGTTGGTCACAATACCTCTGGGAACTGTGTTGGTCTCAATACCTCTGGGAGCTGTGTTGGTATCAATACCTCTGGGAACTGTGTTGGTATCAATACCTCTGGGAACTGTGCTGGTCTCAATACCTCAGTGAACTGAGTTGGTATCAATACCTCTGGGAACTGTGTTGGTCTCAATACCTCTGGGAACTGTGTTGGTATCAATACCTCTGGGAACTGTGTTGGTCTCAATACCTCTGGGAACTGTGTTGGTATCAATACCTCTGGGAACTGTGTTGGTCTCAATACCTCTGGGAACTGTGTTGGTATCAATACCTCTGGGAACTGTGTTGGTATCAATACCTCTGGGAACTGTGTTGGTATCAATACCTCTGGGAACTGTGTTGGTCTCAATACCTCTGGGAACTGTGTTGGTATCAATACCTCTGGGAACTGTGCTGGTATCAATACCTCTGGGAACTGTGCTGGTATCAATACCTCTGGGAACTGTGCTGGTATCAATACCTCTGGGAACTGTGTTGGTATCAATACCTCTGGGAACTGTGTTGGTATCAATACCTCTGGGAACTGTGTTGGTCTCAATAACTCTGGGAACTGTGCTGGTATCAATACCTCTGGGAACTGTGCTGGTATCAATACCTCTGGGAACTGTGTTGGTATCAATACCTCTGGGAACTGTGTTGGTCTCAATACCTCTGGGAACTGTGTTGGTATCAATACCTCTGGGAACTGTGTTGGTATCAATACCTCTGGGAACTGTGTTGGTATCAATACCTCTGGGAACTGTGTTGGTCACAATACCTCTGGGAACTGTGTTGGTATCAATACCTCTGGGAACTGTGTTGGTATCAATACCTCTGGGAACTGTGTTGGTCACAATACCTCTGGGAACTGTGTTGGTATCAATACCTCTGGGAACTGTGTTGGTATCAATACCTCTGGGAACTGTGTTGGTCACAATACCTCTGGGAACTGTGCTGATCTCATCACCTCTTTGACAATTGAGTGATAAGGCATGCAACAACTGTACGAAATGTTTCAGTCATTTTTAATGAATGTAAAACCACATGAAATGACCAATCAAACATTGATCATAGGATTCATGATATCACTTTGTTGTTATAACTTATTATTATCAATACACAACTGTCCATAACTTACCATAATCATGGGCGACGTCAGCAGACCCCAGGCAAAGAATTCTAAAAATATCACAATAAGGGCATGGTACACACTGGGTTGGCTCATCCATCCTGGTGCCTGAAACAAGCAATTAAGAAATTATGTATAGTAATATATTTATTGATATAAAAAATTGAAGTAAAATTAAATTTGTACTTTTTTTTTTATACTCACGTCCAGCACATAAAAATTGTTATATTGTTGCATTGTGTTACAATGAACATGATTGACTGTTACAAGGCATGCCCTCTGAATTAATCAGGGATTTCCCCCTAAAAATATCTTATTCACAATGATGTATATCTATTACTTGTTTATTAAGTGTAAATCTACCCAATAATAATAGTCAAAGCAGCTGTTACATTGGTGGTACTCTATTTACTGTAGGTGTGGTCTGCAAACATCAATCATAACAACTTGCATTTCAGTCTCTGATGCATTTGAATCAGTTACAATTATAGCTCTCTGTAAAAAGACAAGAATTGACTGGATATTGTTGTTATATATCAGGTATATAACATGCTCACTGTGGAAAATGCTGCCATGTCTTCTTACAGAATCTTGTTCAAGTTTGTGACACTCAATTATTTCATCAACAAATCATAAACACAAAAAAGATGTTACTTGCAGCTACTGCAGTTTGCTGAAATGTTAAGTCTCTCAATGTTGAAGACTTTTTTTAAAGAATCCTATGTTTAACATCAGAATACTACCATAAATAAAAGATAAAATTTCATCATATTAGAACTGAAAAAAGTCTTTGTATTTGTGTTAAAGCTCTGATAATATGACCCATTATAAAGTGTAATCTATAGGAAAATGATTGTGAAACGTGACCTGAAGAAGCTCTATGTTCCGGTAACTTTATGTCCGCTTCCAACAGGTGGCTGCTACATCATTGTTCTTAGCACAAAATGTTGGTAATGTGAAAGTTTCTTCAAAATACATGTAAATGTAAAACTATCACAGAAATTAAATTACATTTGCTTGGACTTCTACCATGTTCATTGTTACTGTAGATAAACATGAGAAGTATTTGTCATTTGATTATTGATTTGTAATGAACATCCTTAGATTAGCGCAAGAAAATAGATATTCATTTTCATTATCTCCCCCTGAAAACTTTCTAAATCAACAATGATAGGAATTTTTGAAGTTCACATTAAACTGGCTAACTTTTAACAAGATAATTAATTGATCAACTTTTGACATTCTTGTAACAAATGGAAATATCACTCCATTTTAGCCACCTTCAATCTGAAATCTGAAGAAAACTCTTAAAATTCAATGACACTAAATGCTAAGTAAGTTTAATGTTTAACTTTCATTGTTGATCCTAATAATATTTCTGGGCAAAATAGCATTGTTTAAGAAGGGTAGTATTGATCTGTTTATCCTCATTATATCTGCTTCATTATCCATAAGTAATACATTCTGATCCATCATTCAGCCATCTTGCAGATGATTTGTTTCCTCATTTATATTTTTACTGATTATTCTAACATATGACCACCAATGAGAATCAAGAACTATCCACAAGTGATGATTATTTCTCTCAGGCAATAGGAAGATGTGTACTGTAGACAGACAGAACATTTTTAACATGTCAGATTATCCTTCAAAACACTGTGTGTGTGCTTATTTTGTGATTTTCATGTCACAAGTAAGTTTTCATGGATATTACGTAAGTAATGCAAGAGAATATTGGCCCTTCAACAGGACACACACTTTCGTACAAAGACCTAAATATGATCCGATTGATACTGAACGATATTTCTTCTGTGATATTCAAGTCGATCGTATTTTTTCATCTTTCAAATATCGGTTTCAGATCGGGTGAAGTTTCTTTTCTTTCAAAATAACACGAGAATTATGTAATTTCTGTTTCAGCATATCATATATGATGGCTCTGTAAGACGATAAACATGACATCGTTGACAGTGACATGGTTGAGATAACGGATTAGTGAGAGTCAAGATTGACAACACAAACTTTACAACAAACTACAACAGATCCATGGAATTTAAAAAAGAAATCACTCTACCGTCCCGTTTTCTTTTAAATGTCCTTTCCTTGGCCCCCATATTATCTTCCCAACAATCCGTTTCTTCCTTTTCCCTTGCATAGCCGTTAAATATTGGTCAGGCTATATACAACATCGCCATTTTCTCGAGTACGAGAGTAAAACTACCTTGACCTTTGTTGTCGATGATAGTTCCGCAGTAAAAATCACACGCCCATTTCCGGTTTTGCACCGACGGTACCTAAATACATTTTATTGATAACAAAACTAAATATAAAGTAATTTATTTTAAAATGAATTGATTTGTCCGTGAAAGTGAATTTATTTGCCAAAATAATTATATTATGAAGTATTGCGATCAACGGGGATTTAGCTGAGTTGACAGTAGGTAACTGGATTACCTACCTTAGTTACAAACTTTACACTAGACCCCTCCCCCTTATGAAAATTGTCCAATCTCGCACGAAAAAGATCCTCCTGCGGTTATCGAAAATAAGAGTTTTCACTTACCGCCGCCCAGTACCCCAAATAATCTATAACCGGCCTCGCTTAAATTACTATAACCTATTAGGCACGGAATTCTAAATTTCTCAATCCCCTCTGCTACTCCGCTTCTCATTGCCATATAATCAACCTCAGTCAGCATCATCATCGTCGTTGTCGTCGTCGTCGTCAGCTAGACTGTGCTCGTTGAAACTAAAAAAAGTGTATTTTCAATTAAGTTAACAATATGCATCTTCCTTAAACACCTGTAGGACATCTAGTTCGGTCTAAACACCTGGATTTCCATTTTGCTCTAAACACCTATGAGTGTTTGGGGGAAACTCATCTGATTCGTGTTTCATTAAAACCGATGTACAGTCTAAGAGATTCGATCTTTTAAATATCTTTTTACAATAGTTGGCCATGTACGCGAGATGACCTAAAATACATTCCAATGCTTACACTTATATCCAAACGAAGTATCTTGTGGCAGGGACGTTCAATACATGTCTTTCGGCCATGTAACTTACACTTTCATCAATATGATATCGGGGAACAATGTCGTAGTCTTTCGTTAGAAGATTGATCTAAAGACTACAGAAGTTTACCGAAAATCACAGGATTTTGATGGAATGAGCCCGTTCTTTCAATGGGAAAATATAGCATTAATGGTTGGTATAAACAGATACCCGGTATTCCCTTAAATATTATATCTGACGTAAGCTACTACTGCACGGGATTCTATATATAACCAGGGACGTATAATATTATAGTATTATACGTCCCTGATATAACATTAACTGTAACACAGGGACTTGGCAAGAATTCTCTTTCCACAGTACATTTCATAAGCACTGTAATACATGGGCAGTGGGTAGGGAATTCGTGACAAGTCCCTGTGTAATGTAATTCCATGTTTGGGTATGGTTGTCTCCCTTGGACTGCTATTTTTGCAGTAACACATTTTCCCAATAATATGTTATCAACTCAAAATTGTGTTAAATAAAGTGAAATTCGAAATATTACAGCAATTGTACATTAAAAATAACATTATCTAATACATGGCATTATTATAACGTCGGCATAAAAACAATAACCATGACGTCATTTAACTGTCACCGCATAGAAGATAGCCTAATAGACGTGACTTCAAAATGGCGAAATAGAAAAAAAAAACTAAACAAAAAAAAGCATGATAAAAATGGGCTTCTTTTGTGAATATCTGCAAAAGTAACTGTCGTGATTTGTTAGGAAATTCTCTAACTATTTCTAAAATCACAATTACTAGTGCTATGTTTTACCAAATGCAACGTAACAGAAGTTCTAAAACAGAGCCAGTAGATGATTTGTGTGAGACGCTTCGGGTAACTTTACTTTGTCACCTTCATCATCCAAATGACCCGTGTGAAGAGTACTAGTAACAGAAGTTCTAAAACAGAGCCAGTAGATGATTTGTGTGAGACGCTTCGGGTAACTTTACTTTGTCACCTTCATCACCCAAATGACCCTTGTGAAGAGTACTAGTAGCAGAAAGTCTTATAACACAGACGGTAGAGGATTTGAGTGAGACGCTTCGGGTAACTTTACTCTGTCACCTTCATCACACAAATGACCCTTGTGAAGAGTACTAGTAGCAGAAAGTCTTATAACACAGACGGTAGAGGATTTGAGTGAGACGCTTCGGGTAACTTTACTCTGTCACCTTCATCACACAAATGACCCTTGTGAAGAGTACTAGTAGCAGAAAGTCTTATAACACAGACGGTAGAGGATTTGAGTGAGACGCTTCGGGTAACTTTACTCTGTCACCTTCATCACACAAATGACCCGTGTGAAGAGTACTAGTAACAGAAGTTCTAAAACAGAGCCAGTAGAGGATTTGAGTGAGACGCTTCGGGTAACTTTACTCTGTCACCTTCATCACCCAAATGACCCTTGTGAAGAGTACTAGTAGCAGAAAGTCTTATAACACAGACGGTAGAGGATTTGAGTGAGACGCTTCGGGTAACTTTACTCTGTCACCTTCATCACACAAATGACCCTTGTGAAGAGTACTAGTAGCAGAAAGTCTTATAACACAGACGGTAGATGATTTGAGTGAGACGCTTCGGGTAACTTTACTCTGTCACCTTCATCACACAAATGACCCTTGTGAAGAGTACTAGTAGCAGAAAGTCTTATAACACAGACGGTAGAGGATTTGAGTGAGACGCTTCGGGTAACTTTACTCTGTCACCTTCATCACACAAATGACCCGTGTGAAGAGTACTAGCACCATTCTCGATTCCCTTTCAGCTTTCAAGCGTGGTGAATACGGTGAAACGAAGGGCAATAACTCCTGGAGACCAGGATGGCTACTACTGACGTACATATAGTTATCTGCTAATTGTCACTACTAAACAGGGACGAGGAGATGGGGATTGAGAAGGTGGGGAGGGGGGAGGTGGGGGTGGGGGGGAGGGGGGAGTCTATGACCAAGTGTCAGACAAGGTGTAGCCGAATCCCGTGTACTTTTCCTTACTAATATATTAGAAAAAAATAATATAAAATATTAGTCGATTTGTAACCCTGTCGTATACTACTTGCGTCAGTACATCTCAATATTTGTTTCTTTGTGTTATCGTACCATGCTGGTTCCTTCAAGTTTCAATATATGGGTGAATAATGATATCATCATTTCACCTTCAACTGCACGCAACTGTATGGAACATCCTCACACTGTTCAACAGTAGGCAGATGAACAACGTTCCACTGAATAATTAATTAGAAAAACTGTTTCTACTCGCATTGACAGTCGTCATAGAATATTCCCTCCGGGAAGGAATCATTGAATGTGACATTTCTCCGCTGTGTGACTGTCACTGCTATACGATGCCCGCAGCAGCCGGATGCTGAGAGATCCATAGAGTTGTCGTCACATAAAATCCTTTTATCAAACAGAAAAATCAATTTCTGCACGTGAAATTAACTGTAAATCACTTTGCTGATTGTTTAAATTAAAAAAATCTAGACAAATATTACTATCAATAAGGTATAGTGATGACTTTGAGCCATTGTATTGGTTGATATCGCGTATTCTAAACGCTTATACATGTGCAGGCTTCAGCAACATTGATCAACCTCTGGTCATCTCACTGAAATACAAAGTTTTGAACCATAATTCATTATCAATATATCATACCTTTCAACAAAAAAAGAAAAAGAGATACTTAATGAGGCAATAAATAGTCAAAATACATTTTTTTCGCACACACGTGTGTTTTTCTACAATTTCACACACATACCCTTTATCTACTGTATTTAGTGTCGTTTCCTGTCTATTCTCGTACATAAACAAGACCTGCACACAGACGTAATATGTGGTTAAGTGTGAATATGAGGAGAAATGACGTTTCACCGCCGTCGACCAATCGGCTTTACTCTCCACCACATAACACTATCGTGTCTGTGAGATTGGGAATACACAAACGCTGAGGTAAGATCAACAACATTTTCCTTATTTTTTCCCTCAAATTTACATAAATATTCCCTGTTTGTATTTGCGAATAGCTAACGTTATATCGAATTAGATTGAAATGTGGTACTTAAATTGCAATCAATAAATTCAAAGCCTTGAATTTTGTTTCCAAATCGCTCCATATACCTGTTTATTTTGATAATGGAATGCTCAAGTCTCAACTCGTTAGATAATGGCTGAACGGGTTACACCCAAATTTTCCTAGTTTACAGACATATTTCATTTCTGACAAGTCAAATCTTGTTTTCAAATTAATTGATTGAAATTTAAACGAACGTGAGACATCAGTTAGTTAAATGATTATGCGTGAACTTCTGTATATCACAGGACGAATGATATTAAGAATGTAGTACTGAATACTTATTTGTTTATGCGAATTGATTGTTTCAAATGTAAATCGGAGTTGTATGTTGTTAATCTGTTTAGATATTTACCCTTCCCCCGAGGACCATATCGCGTTCCAGATGATTGAGAAAGTCGATTCACTATACCCCTACAGGTACCCTGCCATCAATCATGTCTACATAACTGGGTATATATTTACCTTGACACTCACAGTCCAGTATATACAAAATTATTGCCTCCGACGCTGATATTTTAACCACCACCCCCTCCCTACACAAACCCTAACCCGCCTACCATTGTGGTGATGATATTATTGAACGTACATAAATTATCTTCACCGCACGTGCAGTTTTACTGGTGTGGTATTTATTTACTTATGTATTTATTTATTTTACTGGAATTTGTCCGTAACATTGTAATAAAACAGGATATGTCCCCCACAAAAGATGAGATATAAGATATTTTAATGTACTTTTTGATGTTTATAATCTGCTGAAGTATAAAATGTGGTATATATGTTGTACTCATCTTATTACAGTACGCGACACACGCATTTCTATACAGGAAACAGACAAGGGATGAGAAGTTCATTTTCGCTATAAGTAGCTCTTGACTGTCCACACAAGATAAGAATGTATGACTATTATATGTACACATTAACAAAGATAAAACCCACATACTTTTATGCACTATAATATTAATGTGATAATAGTATTAACGGAGACACATCTAAACACCACCGATTAATAAATAGAGTTTGGCCATTACATTCAGACATGTATATACTTAAATGGTTCAGTAGACTCGATATAGAAAATATACAAGATGTTTCCTATATATGAAATATCTTGCACACGCTCTTATGAACTAACACTGATAGTCGAGCCCCTGGGGTTACTGGGCGAAGCTTTGTATAAACGGCGTATGAACTTATCATTTTAAGTTTATATACACTGTGAGTGTAGCTAATCCCCGGGGGATGTAGAGATGGTAGAAGGTTTGTGTGTTTCTGTTCATCTAATCTATCAATGTTTTCCTCATCAAAGATGGAAATAGAATTTTAATCTTTACGGGAGTGTGGCAGGTGCCCCAAGCCTTCCCCTCCCACGGTAGAAGGTACAGGCACAACTCCTTATCTCGCACTACCAACTTTATCATCCATCTTACACTGTATTTCATTGCACCTTCTCGATCTAGACTACTGAAGTGGCTTCGTTCAACGTTCCCGGAGCACACACAACTCGGAAATCAAGCATTGAAATATATCCTGTTTATAAACTTTATCATGTATAAAACTCCGTATATATCAGTATTCACAATCGAAGAGGCACTGGTTCACGGTTGGCTTAAGGATGTATGCTGCTTTACTTTACAATAGTCCTCATTTGCAATAAAGAGTTCAAAATGGAAGCAAATCAAGACACACGATGTATTTCACTGAGAAACAGAGCAGCCATTCAGAAGAATTCAATAGCTTGCTTTTTCTAAACGTGAAACATTTGCAGGAAGTTAAATATTTGTTGTATACATAGAGTTGATTGCCATGTATTTTGTTTCAGGAAGCTATGCCTATCAGTTTTCTAATATATACAGTCATAGAAAACATATATTTTAAATATCTTACTTCCTCTTTATTCAAAGAACGGCGAAATACTTAATAGAGGACAGTTCAGGGGGATTACACATCTTTCCCTGATTTCTTACCAAGCAGTATCCTTAAAAACAGTCTGAATTATTGCTCATTAAACACACATGAAAAGACACAGGGTGATATATTTGAAGCTCTTCAGTTCACGACGTACTGGGACTCTAATTTTATTTTAAAACATTAATGAGTTTTCAAGCGTATCTAGGATTTGAGAGATCATTTTATTTTTGGATCTATCTATATGACATCTTTTAAAAGTTGATTTTTCAAAATCCTGAATAAAAGAAAGACGTAATTGAGTACGTTTTAAACCTATCTTAAATCAAAGAAAAATATAATTATATTTTAAGGTTATTTTGTGACACTATCCCTGGAAATAAATGTTATACTGTAACTGTTTCCGGTAGGAACGTGTGTGTGTGATTCGATAAGCTGACAATTAGTATTCACGCTTGTTGGAGTCCGATCGAAATTCAGTCGAAAAATTAAAAGTTATTATCGATAAACATGAGCAAATAACATGTATGTAAAGTAATCTTCCGGTGAAACACGAGGAAATAATATGAGGTTTGGCTGTATACTCTCTACCCTGAAGACCTGTAGTATGTAATTGATGTAGATAATTGTGTACACATGGACTTAGTAACATTAGTTAGGTTGACCACGTCCTGACCGTTTGTTCGTCTAGCTCCGGGCTCCGACTCGTGGTGTCCACACCTATGCTCTGGCCACACGTTACAATAATATACACCTGTAGAAAATCTCATTAACATGTAGGCATAACGAACACAAAACAACACAGGTGATTGTTGTCTGTCGGAATCAACAAGACATACAGTACCAATAAACAAACTAAGACGACCTCGTACAAACATTTCCTCTTAATATGGAGAGTTTAGTAGGCATTCCATTCTTATTATTATTGTCATCTAGATTATCACATCATTTCTTTTCTCAATAAGTTCTCTTTAATACTGACACGTAATGAGTACAATTTATACAATATCCAGACTTGATAGGAATTTGTTATCATAAAGTCACTGCTGGACCCGTGTCACTTAGTTAAAACCTCCACATGTTAGACGTACCTGAAATTGGTGTTCTGGTCAATGTGAGTACCGAAAACTCTAGACAGACACGTCGTTACAGAAGAAAGATATAACAATGTCCTGGTCATAGTATCACTTGATTATAAACTTCAGATTTCAATATAGTTTTATCTTTAATTATTGTAGATCAGCTCTACTGCACAATGTCGCAAGAATTGATCGATTTGGAGGAAATAGTGAAGAAATGGGTTGCCGATTTCCCACTGGATGCTAAACAACGTAAAGAGGCTGATGACGTCATATCGACGGACATAAATTGGAAACATTTACGTGTGCAGCACGGGGACACGCAATATTTTGACCAAATAAAGGCAACAACACCAAAGTCACACGTGCTTTTCACAGCCCATTTCACGAACGACACTGACCAAAATCAGGTTTACACCTTAAAAACGGAAAGACGAACAAAATCTACTTGTACGCTGTCTTTAGAGAAAAGTTATACCTACGGTTTTAATGTCGATATAAAGCTGACGCCTCCAAATCCGGTCATAGAGGCCAATGCCGGCTTTAAGGGCGAACTGGGTCTGACTAAAGCAAGCGACGAAACTTTCGAAGAGGAGCTGCTATGGTCAGTTGATAACCAGATAACTGTCCCGCCAAAATTCAAAACAAAAGCCAACCTCGTTATTAAGGAGGATGAATACACCAGTCATTTTAAAACAGAGAGCAAGTTTGAAGGCAGAATCCACGTGACATTACGTCATAAAAAAGATAACACTCCTATTACGACCCTAACCACTGACGTTAAGAGGCTGTTTACTGGAGACAAGGGGTTCCGAGTGGACAAATCGGGGATATATTTCGTCACTCAAGGGCGGTGTCGCTGTAGGTTCGGCATAGAACAGCATGTGAAACTGTCACAAACCAAGGTTGATGAAATCACGGAAGACGAGGGTGTCGGTGAGGTGGATACAACGTCATGATGACGTCATTTATTCCGTCGCATTACTTGTCTTAGTTTGCATGTTGTGTTTGAAAGTGAAATTCAGCATTACAAATAGGACAATCATGCGTGTTGATGAGTCGCCTTCGTGTTTATTTGGAGAAAAATGGGGAATGTAACAGAAGTTCTCCTAAATATGTATACAGCTATTACTGCAATATTTCTCAACAATGTGCTTGAATGAGAGAATTCGTGACGTCATTTTTGTGATAATTACAATTGGTTGTTGTTATGCCTTGGAACTATTTGACAAGTGATAGTGATGACGTGTGATTGGAATTTTTCCCGTGATTCAATGTGCTATAGGAGAGGTTGTGTTGAGTAAAGTTCTTTTCCAATTTTCTGGATCGGTACATCTTTCCTAACTGGCTGACATCTCTTTTCAATACAGTGATACACTTACGATGAGCTGCACGTGGCGAGGGCAACTTTCCATATATCAATCCAATCAGACAACCGTCAGTAATTGTCTCCCCATTGTGATGTACAGATCACAGGGACTTGTCATTTGAGACACCAACCTTTATCATAAGACATTTTCTAACGTAAGTATTTGATGTGAAATATTTTAGATGCATAAAAGAAATGTTATTTCTAAGTGACTAGGCATTTCTGTTTCTGTTATATCTTTAAAAACATTCTGCCGGTCAGAAACTGTTTCTCATTAGCAAGTCCCTGTGGTAGTGCGGGCTCGCACTTTAAAGATGCGGGTAGTATAGGAATTTGTCATCGTATCGTTTATAGTGCCAGCGTGTCTATAAGCCAGTTATTCACTCCATTGTCCTTTATTTCCCGACTGTTAATACCTATCGATTTCCTCAGCGACTGCCCTCCTCTAGGGAAAGCCGTATTAACTCCACGTATCCAACTTAGAAACCCAGTACACGTATATAGCCAATGCTTGGAGACTTGGATAATGTATTCATTTACAGATGTTATAATTTCTTGTACGTGTACTAACATATATTGACATATCGAGAAATGTTGCATAATTGAGTGATTCATTCCAGATCAACACGGCCTGCAATTATATATTATTACATTATATATCTTGATTAAATTAAATCCATGTCGCTTTTGTTCTTTGTCTACGACTTCAAAAATACTTCGGGACTTTGAAATAGAAAAGTTAAAAATAACATGCTTTTAAAACTCGACTTAAGTCTTCACGCTCTTTCAAACAACTCGATAATTTCCAAAGGTAGTTGAAATTCCAACGGAACCCGTGGAAATGTCGAGCTGGGCTTCAAGATAGTAAGATAATGACATTGTCAATTTTCTAGAGTTTACAATATTGATTCACAATATGCTAGTGTAATAAAATAGTTGTAGTTTTTATTTGTTGTTCGCTTCATTTCACGTTCCCCTCTCAAAATTGTTCGGTGTAAAATTTCTGCCAGACAACACATCGATCTAAACTATTGATGCCGTTACTTTGACATAAAAAATGCACATAATTTTGTTACGATAGTAATCTTTTCATTCAAGTCAGAAGCGCCACACACCATTTTATCATCCCTGAAGGACGAGCTTTTCGCCAGAGCGTGTTTTCTGCTACAGGTATCGACCCGCTAGCTTCCAAAGGTTAAAGGTCAGCCAACACACGTGCTAATTAATCGTACCCAAGGGAAACATGGTTCAACGTTATGAATATTAATACTGATGTATGATCCCGCTGAAGTCCATTAGGTGTTGTTAAAAAAACACACGCGCGAGTTTTGTCTGATATGTAAATGTACACACTTCCCTGTACGTGTGAAATGCACGTGATCTTGATTCTACACGTAATAGTTTATGTACATCTTCGTGTGACTGTAATTTTACACGTGATGGTACTTGTGCATCCTTCTATATCCACGTGACTACTTTTGCACATTTTGCGTTCATTTGCATATTATTCTAAGATATACACATTCCTACACTTAAAACGTGATTATAAATGTTCATATTCCTATTTTGATTGTACGTTTACACGTGATGGTACAAGTAAGTATTCCTATTTACACGTGATGGTACAAGTAAGTATTCCTATTTACGCGTGATTGTACTTTTACACGTGATGGTACAAGTAAGTATTCCTATTTACACGTGATTGTACTTTTACACGTGATGGTACAAGTATGTATTCCTATTTACACGTGATTGTACTTTTACACGTGATGGTACAAGTAAGTATTCCTATTTACACGTGATTGTACTTTTACACGTGATGGTACAAGTATGTATTCCTATTTACACGTGATTGTACTTTTACACGTGATGGTACAAGTAAGTATTCCTATTTACAGGTGATGGTACAAGTATATATTCCTATTTACACGTGATTGTACTTTTACACGTGATGGTACAAGTATGTATTCCTATTTACACGTGATGGTACAAGTATGTATTCCTATCAACACGTGATTGTACTTTTACACGTGATGGTACAAGTAAGTATTCCTATTTACACGTGATGGTACAAGTATGTATTCCTATTTACACGTGATGGTACAAGTATGTATTCCTATCAACACGTGATTGTACTTTTACACGTGATGGTACAAGTAAGTATTCCTATTTACACGTGATGGTACAAGTATGTATTCCTATTTACACGTGATGGTACAAGTATGTATTCCTATCAAGACGTGATTGTACTTTTACACGTGATGGTACAAGTAAGTATTCCTATTTACACGTGATGGTACAAGTATGTATTCCTATCAACACGTGATTGTACTTTTACACGTGATGGTACAAGTAAGTATTCCTATTTACACGTGATGGTACAAGTATGTATTCCTATTTACACGTGATTGTACTTTTACACGTGATGGTACAAGTATGTATTCCTATTTACACGTGATGGTACAAGTATGTATTCCTATCAACACGTGATTGTACTTTTACACGTGATGGTACAAGTATGTATTCCTATTTACACGTGATTGTACTTTTACACGTGATGGTACAAGTATGTATTCCTATCAACACGTGATTGTACTTTTACACGTGATGGTACAAGTATGTATTCCTATTTACACGTGATGGTACAAGTATGTATTCCTATTTACACGTGATTTTACTTTTACCCGTGATGGTACAAGTAAGTATTCCTATTTACACGTGATGGTACAAGTATGTATTCCTATCAACACGTGATTGTACTTTTACACGTGATGGTACAAGTATGTATTCCTATCAACACGTGATGGTACAAGTAAGTATTCCTATTTACACGTGATTGTACTTTTACACGTGATTGTACTTTTACACGTGATGGTACAAGTATGTATTCCTATTTACACGTGATTGTACTTTTACACGTGACGGTGTTCCTAATTACTTTACTTTCATGCACAAATGTTGATATGCATGTTCATTATATGATTTTGACTAATGCAAAGTACAACTGTCAGTCACTGTCAATGTAAAAAACAAATACAAAAACAACAGTTTACTCTTAACTTCAACTTTACTGACATGATTTGAGCCTTTAACTTGACACATGATAAAGGAGAACATACCACTTTATACCATACAACTTTATATCGTCAATACATATGATGGTTAGTACTCTGACCCTACACAGAACAAAGGTAACATTAGCAGACTAGAGATAAAAATTGCTGCAGTTTTCAATATATAGATACAATTAAACATGGCTCGTCATCCTTCAATAGACGTACATGTACACAGATCTAGGTATCACAATATAACAAAGTATTTAAAAATGTCATTTACACACACTAGCATGACCTGTAGTTACATTAAATGTTTAAAAAAAATCTGTTAAGGCACAAAGCTTTAAACCAAAATGTTTATTACAGTGCAACTTCCTTAAACTCATTCTTCTCCAAACCAATCACTGCTTGAAACTGAAAGAAGAGATAATGTAAAGAATAGACCCCATTCCGAATACCAAACCAGTTTTATATCCAAAATGGCTTAAATATACTGATAATTACTTTACTTTAGGGATCAAGACTCATGTTCTGACCGGAGAACAGTGAAATCAACATGTGCCAGCATTTGTAAGCTTTGTAGCTGGGGCCTACTGTAAACAATGCTTACCCTGATCGAGGGGATTATAAGTAGTACTATACATAATTATCACCAATGACAAGATGAATCCACATCGAATGAATCCATCGTTATACAGAAAAGAATGAAGAAAGCTGAGACTAAAAGTCATAGACATGTATAAAGAAATAGAAAAATTAATGGAGAGTTGTTTAAAAAGATAATTTCATTATATGATAAACGACAACACTAGTTCATCAAATATATTGATTGTAAACACTTTCAGACAAAATAATCACCTGACAGGGATCCAGATTCGTGACAAAATGCCAGATAATCCTATTAAAGTATGTTTTTTATTAATATGATAAAGAATGAAGTATTCTCACCCTTGATCAAAATACAGTATAATAGAAAAAAGTCTGTACAAGGCATTTTATTTAACAATAACAATGCACTATCTACCAGTGATAGGACAATACTACAAAATACTTTTTAGAAAATCAACCTAGGAAATGAAATCAATTAATTAAAATCAAAATTGTAAAAATATTTATCGGCAGAGTTCTAAAAGAGTGACTGGAAGTCAAAGAAATGTACAAGTGTAAAATCCTCATGTAAAATTGTTTTCAGAGATTTACAACTAGCAAGCTAGAAAGGCTTAATATCAATGGTATTCAACAAGTCAAAAAAACTTACAACAGATTAAAAGTCTCTGAAATACATTGATTTAAAAAATGTACAATATTTTTCAACTTAAATATCAAAACAACTCAAGCTACCAGCAGTTAATGTGTCAAACCAATCAATTATGTGTGTTCAATTATTGATTATAAAACTGCAATATTACATATATATATATACCAGTTAATGGTAAATTATAAACAACAATAACCTTTATATGGATATATAACACTAATCTATATGACCCTATATTACTATCTCTCACAATCTCACCTCATAAAAAAACAATCTATAAAACAAATAAACAGGTTAAAAACATCAAGCGGTGTTCACTAAACTTTACATATAAAATTCAGCGATAAATCTTATAGTGAAATATCACCTGTATAAAAGGGAACTAAGGGCAGTGTAAAACCAATGGTATTTATTTCTAATGAATAAAAAATATCAAGTCAATAAAAAAAGCTGATGTCAAACTTTTGCTATGTTTAACAGTGAATTTGCAGATCCACAATATTGCAATATAAACAACATACCGAATCCCTATTTTAGTGTAATACTTTCAGTGTGATAAACACTTAAATGATATAAGCATTAAAATATATACATTTACAGTAGTCTTCCCTCCTCCTCCAGGCATTATATAATGAGTGAAAGACCTTGCTTATTCCAAGAAACAAAAACAATTTTCATAAAACTAAAATTAAAAAAAAATAATTCTGATCAAAACTTCAATTTGAACGATACAAACTCTGATTATGAAATCAACATTGTATCACATTTCTCTTGTCATATTTTCCCCATTGATCAACTCGCCTCACCATCAATCTTAAAGTATTTAGAAAATTGATATACATGTATTGTGCATGATGTATTTTTCTTTTATGCATGCAGTAATTAAGTTCTGGCTAAGATCTAGGATAAGCTATACCCCTTTATTTTCAGATTTAATTGATGAAAGATGATCTGTTAATTAGTCAATACTTAGATAAATGTTATTCATACTAACAAAAATCATCTTAACTTCCATGGGAAGAGGTATTAAATCAAACGTTTACAATAAAAAAAAGGAAAACTGAATCACAGGGTATTTAATTCACCTTAAATTTTGTAAAATTATTCAAATAATCATCTGTAATTTTTTCAATCTGAGGATAGTTAATAAACCCTATTCAGCCTCTTCCTCCTCAGTTTCAAGTCCTGCGTCCAGTTCTGGGTACCATGAGCTGTCATCAGCTTTACACAGAAACAATAAGATTCGGTCAGCGTCCACCTGGTAGTAACAAAGAAGCAAATGATGCAATGGGATTTTTATAAAGGTTTTACAATTCTTTTCAAAAATAAAATCTAATAAAGTTTTCTGATTTTCAATGATACAAGGGACATTCTCTCAGGGTTTCAAAATGATACAAGGGACAATATCTCAGTCTTTTACATTATGTTATAAGGGACATCATATGTAGGTTTTATTGTATATTCTAAATGTCACACTTTTCACCATTCTGAAATTCTCAAAAAAGGAATATTTCTTCATGAGGTCTGTTTTACATCTGATTGTAATGTAACTAAGTAAAACAGTTAAAATATTGATACAGATGTAAATCAAGTCAGAAATAGTAACATAGTTTTGCTATCAGTTCAAGTTAAAGTGTTTTACCTCATAATAAGACTGATTAGATGATATTTCTTTTGGGAGTTTCTTGATGTGGAGCTTGAACTGTTTTCCTTTCAGATCTCCCTTCGCTTTCCCAGTCACAGTCAAACAAAAGGACCTGTCCAGAATAAAATATTTTATCTGATCACTTGTGTCTGGGACATATTATAAATTCAGTATTTTATTGAGTTATCTCCCTTCCACCAGTGACTTTCACAATGTACTACTGGTAACATAAAAAGACTTGTTCCTATGTTTAAAGGTCAGTAATTCCTTGGTATTATATTTACTTTATTAAAGATTTTCAAAATAAAACCTTATCGTATAGTAGCTTTCCAAAATACATTTTTTTTCAGAATCATTATTACAAATAAATGGAAATCTAAGAAAAAGACCTTTCTATCTACAATTTTAGAGGAGCTCACAAAATTTAGTTTTCAAATACTCATTATTATACATTGAATATCTTATATGCATAGAGAAAATACTTGTGATCAAATATTGGTTTTCTAGAATATAAGTGGTACATGTAGCCACGTGGCTATGCAGGGAGACAAAATAATGAAAATTCTGAGAAAATTAAAGTTATGAAGGTACAATGGCAGCAGATTTTAAATTCCTGAGAGAAACATCAAATCAGATTTACAATATGAAATGACATTGTTTGAGATTTAATCACCTTTCCTGAAAGTCAACTTCAACATCTGCATTGTCTGCTTTTTTCACAAACTTGAGACCTTTCATTTGACGTGAAGTTTTGAGGTTTTTGACAGCTACAATAACTCTGACAAACCCATCTTTCTTTTTCTCATCAGTGGCTGTAAATACAACGTATTTGTATAATAATCATTTGCTTGATAAAGTATACAGTAAGTATGATATACAGTGTTGGACAGGAAACAGTTTAAATCACATGTACAAAATAATTAGTCTAAAGGATTTGTGTGTTTTGATTGTTGTTATTTTTACATCTATTGCAGAACAGCCTTTCAAAGTACAAAAAAACCTGCTAAATCCAATTGTTGAACAGTATATATCTAATGGAATGTAAAACAACCTAATCCCAAGGAATTTTACAATTTTATCCAGTATTTGGTTTTTTCTCTTGGTTGTGGTCAAAATTACAGATAAATATTCAGAACCTTTCACACATCTTGTTTACTTTTTAGAAGTCTTCCCTCAGAATTTGGATCTGAATCTACATATGCACCTCCAACTAACGGAAAATTTGATGGCTTGACTACAGGCATGTCATAAGATTTTCTGTCAATGGGCAAAGTGCAGAGGGAACTCAAGACTAACTTTATTATTACATGTTGTACTACTTTTCAGGTAAATGTATCAAATTACTGGGGCATTTTCAATATTATTATATATGAAGGTGTGTGAAATGGATGTTAATTTTAGTTCTAATACCTGTGTGACACATAGTATACATATATTCTTATTTTTACAGACCCCTGTGTTGATACACATAGACATGACCCATATTATACAATATATTCTTGTTGTTACAGGCTCCTGTGTTGATACACATAGACATGACCCATATTATACAATACATTCTTGTTGTTACAGGCCCCTGTGTTAATATAACCAGGGACATAAGAAACACATCAATTTGCGATATATAGGAGTATAGTACAGGTATCCGATTGTGACTATAGAAAAACAGAATAAACTTGAAACAGAAGGGTGTGATATTATATTAACAAGAATGTATGATAAAAACACAGCATACAATAATTTTAATTACTTTTGACGGGTCAGACTCCTGTACATGTGCTGTCATGAAATACCATTTACTATGTAGTATAGCAACTCCCCCAATGTGACAAATATAGACTCAAGATATACTGCACAAATGCCACAATCCCACATTAGTTACTTCCAACAGTACAGTACCAAATCCACCCAAATTTTATCAAAGTCTACCAAAATCTATCCAAGTCTTTCTAACATCTACCCAGATCTTACACACATATACCAAAATATTCATCTCTCCAAATTCAACATAACTATCAACTGAATTGAACAAATTATTTACTTATTTAACTACTTTATTTATTCACCGTTGTTGTGTTCTTCCAAAAGTTAAGGTTTTTAAGTTATAAGTTAAACTAAGTTTTCCTGGCCTTGGAAGGGAGACAACCGCAAAAGACAATGTCAATATTTATCGAGTTATAACCGATTTATAACGTAGGTGCAGTGTCAATCGAAAGTAGTAGGTGACAAATTTGGACAATATGTCGTAGATTTTGGTGAAACTAAATTAGATTTGGATAAATTATGGATAGATTTTGTTAAGAATTTAGTATATTTCGGTAAATCGTCATTGATGTACACATGGGACGTGTAGACTTACCAATATGTACATGTTCTGGAGGTTAGTATAAGTATATTGTAGTTTCTAATGCATATATTGAAACGCTTGAAATAATGACACACAGCTTACTTTCACCGTCTAAAGTATATAATACATGTACCTCCCGATCTATTTTCACGTGTACCGTTATTTATAGTGACATTAAGAGCGATAATTATTGTAGCGATTCATAAATTGCCATAACACTAAGATATGACTTCTTATTAAGATCGTAACGATGCCAAATATTTATAAAGGTTAACTGTCGCTTCTTCTTACCATAATCAGGAATTATCATTTTGGAACTTTCGGCTTGTTTACCATCATCCGCCATTTTCGCTTTCTAATTTCCTGATGTTCGGAATCTCTCGCCGCATACCTGTTGTGGATGTGTTTGAGCAAGAGCATCTCGAATGAAAAGCGACATGTAGCGGGTTCTCTTTTTATATAGCCAAATTACGTCAGCGAAACCAAGTTTACCTCATTTAATCGAATTGGGATATACATTTTGTTACAATAATACCAATGAATATGACATAAGACAAAGTATGGTTACTTCTTTTGTAAACGGGAAAGAGACCCGGGGTTAACGCGTGTTTTCCTAACAGGGTGTGAGCAGGGACGTATATAATATATAGGTCCTGGTGTGAGTACAAGATCACTTAAACCAAACATCTCAAGGTAAAATTCAAACTACTCAACAGTAAGATCATAATTGGAATAAGAAATTAAGGTTAATGTTTCATGTATACAAAGAAAAAATGGCAGTTATTTACAAGTTTACTCTCCATCGAGACGGACTGTTACCGGCGATTTGACCAAATGATAAACCCTGGTCACAAGTTGACTCTAACTTGTGACGAGAAATTAGAAAAAGAAACAGATTACTGAAATTATTTATATTTAACCAAAAACTAAAAAAATCTAAACAAACTTCCGCAAATAACGTAATCATGAGAATATTGGTAAGAAAAGAAAAAAAACTTTTTATGCGGACTTAAATGGTTTATTAGATCTATAAAAACAAGCGACGATTCTAACGTTATAGTTCATATTATAAACGTCATTGACAATATTGAAATGACTAATGATGGTAAAGCTACCAACTCCACTATTCCGGACATATAGTTTGATTTGTATGACATCAATGACATATGGTAATCTTTAAATAATAACAAATCTGTTGGTGTTTACAAAATTAGTCAAAATATGTTTAAAATAAACAGCAACATCGGCAGCTTTTCCTTTGTCTCTTATTTTTAGATCTTATTTGGAAAACAGGTTTCCAAAAACTGGATGTTTACCAGTCTGGTTTTGAGCCAGGTCACTCGACGGTTCATCAACTTATTGAATTTTGCCACACTTTATTTGAGAATTTAGAAAAAAAATGCATCCTACATGTCTAGTTTATATATATATATTTCGGAAGCCTTTGCTCGTGTGTGGCAAGAGGGACCGGAGGTGAAACTATCAAATCATGGCATCATAGCACTTAAGACAAACTGAAAAAGTTGATCAGCTTCAACATGGCATTGGTCGATACTCGCTGTTGAGTTTACCGCCATTCGTAGAAAGCTGAGTTCATCACGTGACTTTTCGGAACATCGTTCTAGATTTTCCCGCATCGCGCATGCGCAAATACATTGCTTACACTCGCGAACGATAAAGATATGATTTAGTGTTGGGGCGATCCTATTTTACCTGTTTTTTTTTACTTTATTAATAAAATGCATGCGCGGATCCAGAGGGGGCATCAGGGGGTCCGGACCCCCTCCTCGATTTTTGCCAAAAAAAAGGGGTTATGAAATTCGACCCAGTACAGCAATATGCCCATTAAAGCTTGTCATACCTTAATGCCGGTTCAGTTATACGTGACGTAATATTTGAACGAGTCGAAAACAAAGATGACGTTATGATCCACGAAATCGTGCTGTCATAGTAGCTGTCATAATCGATTACTTGACTCTGATTTAACTACATGACAATGACGTCATCTTTTCAACCTGACAGTTTATGCGGAAATAAAAAGTACTACACCGACATCAGTTTCATGTATAGCTTTGAGAAAAGCTTCTGCACATTTGCCGATACTTACCAAATCGCATTTTTGCATTTACACAAATATGCAGCAAGCACACATTCATACAGGCCTGTGCCAATAAATAAGATCTAATAAAATCTATTTTCTGTTATACAAACCATTCTGATCCAGATTAGAGTTGAACTTAGATATATATATATATTGTAAGCTGAAAAGTTCATTCTTGATTTGGGTAGAGGCTGCGAAAAATGGACTCGCAAAGTTTGTTGTCCAAGTGGGAGTCGGTACGAAATGTCTCTGCAAATGCAGCCAGATATGACTGGGGTGCACTAAAGTTACAGGCTTTCATGAGAGGCACCTTTACACGTGAAAACACCGTACCAACGACACTTGTAACACGAGATAAAATCTCCTCCGCAGATGATAGCGAATCAAAACATCTGTTGCCAAAGACACAGGAATCAAACAAAACCCTTTCCCTGTGAAAGTTGTCGGAAACGGTAACTGTTTTTATACGTCAGTTTCCATTTCGGTCTTTGGTGCAGAGAACAATCACGTTGAGTGTCGGGTACGATGTGTGCATGAGCTGGTTACAAACTTTTCAAAATACACCAGCCATGAAACATTCACCGCAATGTCAAGTAAGCCGACAGATTTCAAATAAATTTTTGAAAGCTCAATCTCTGACCAGGCCAATGTCCCCAATAATATCCCTAAGTCTTTGAAGAATGAGATCATAAAATCTGCAAATGACGGTCAGTACTCCTCCTTGCTTCATCTTTATGCCTCCGCTAACGCATTCGAACGTCCAATAGTATCAATCTTTCCTCAAGTAGAGCATGTTGCTATCAACAGACCAGTCCGCAACCAGACTATTAGTCCACTTGACTATTCCGAGGAACAGCATCGCCCTCCTATGTACATAATGTGGAACCCCTTTTGAAAAGCAGAAAATATCTGATTATTTCAGGAAGGGCAAGTTACGAGAAAACGATCCGTCTAGTATCCATTCTGATCAAAGTACAAGGAAACAAACACAGCACCATGGCTGTGCAAATCCGGAAATTTCACATAAATATAATGAACAAGCTGCATATTTCGAAACAAGCGCCAACTCCCAAATATCATCCCGATATGATTTTAGTGAAATTTTGAATGTGACATTGTCGCTTTCGTCATTATCTCAGACTGAAAAATACCTATGTGGAAAGCAGTTGTGATGAAGAAACCCTGAAAAATATGCTATTCGTAACAAAAGGAGTAGCTGGTAAGGATAAAAAGTTGTATTTTCAAGCAAGTTGGTTGGAGAAACGTAAATGGTTGACATTCAGTAGCGTACTTCAGGGGGGGTCTTTGCAAAATTTGTATGCTGTCAGTCAGTCAGATTTAAGATGTTACGACACCTTTGTAAGTAAACCATTAAAAAATTTCAAGAAAGTTGGCGGGAAAGAGTGTTCAATGCTGAGACGCGACCAGTCTACCTACCACAAAACTGAACGCATTGCATATCAGACTCTGAAAGCAAGCCTCACATCCCCACAAACCACAGTCCAGTATAAGATAAACTCACAAAACAAGGACATGTATGACAAAAACTTGAGGCTCTTGAGAATACTAGTTGAATCAGTAATTCTCTGTAGAAAACAGAACATTCCCCTGAGGGAACACAGAGATGACTCTACAAGTACCTCATCCAACAAGGGCAATTTCTTGGCCATTCTAAATTTACTAGCGTGTCATGACAAAGAGCTGGCAAATCATCTAGAAAATGGACCGAAACTGCAACCTATACCAGCAAGACCGTACAGAAGAAAATCATAGACCTTATTGGGTCGTACATCAGAAATCAAATATTAGAAGGCCTGAAGGGAGAGGGTTTTACTCTATCATAGCTGATGAAGTGACGGATACGTTTTCAAACCAAGAGGTTCGGGCTTTGTGTGTGCGATTTTTAGATGAAAGTCAAACTGAGCCATGTATTCGAGAAGAATTCTTTGATTTTCTCCATCTGAAACGTACTACTGTGGAAACAACTGCAATTAAAATAGTAGAGGTATTAACAGAGAACAATATTCCAGTTGACAAAATAAGGGGCCAGGCGTACGATGGGGCAGCAGCTATGTCGTCAGAAAAAGTAGGCTGCCAAGCTCGAATAAAGTCTGTCAATCAACATGCCCTATACACACACTGCAACGGTCACGTTCTGAACTTGAGCATAGCTCACGCGTGCAAAATACCTCTTGTGAGAAATATGATAGATGGGGTAAATGCCACATTCGTTTTCTTCGATGTCTCGCCCAAAAGACAACGCTTCTTTGAACATGTCCTTCAACATCATGGCCCGAAATCAAAGCGTAAAAAGTTGTTGGGTTTGTGTAAAACAAGATGGGTAGAACGTCATACCTGCTATGATATATCTTTAGCATGTATACTGCCATCGTTGAATGTCTCCAGTCCATCGAAAACCCAGAACTTGAGGAAAACACTCAAGATGAGTGGTCGTGGGATGCGCAAACTAAAATTACAGCCGGGGATTGTTGGCTACTCTGCTGTCGTACCAGGTTTTGGTTACATTCATCAGCGTAAGGGCTGTTCTGCAGACAGTCAAACCACTTGCATCAAAAAACTTCAGAAACGTGATTTGGATGTGTATGAAGCCCGCACACTGATTACTGATCGTATTGAGAGGGTGAAAGAGATGAGAGAAGGAGTAGATGTTGAGTTTGAAATGTGGTATGAAGATTGCAAACGAATCGCCACGGTAGCTGTTCCATTTCTGGGTCATTTATCAACTGAGCTCAATGACATAATTCACAAAGATGACAGTGTTGCATATGCATTTTGTTGTTTGGTTGTCAGATTCTGAAATACAAAAACTTTCTTCTGAACTTTTCTTCTGTGACTCAGACTTGCAATGTTCATCTTCCCAAGATCTACAAGGGCATTTGTTAGAGTGGATGAGGGCTTGTGGATAACTCGATGAGAAGGACATCACAGCGGACAATTTTTTAGATACCTAAAATTGCAGACGGGGACATCTTTCCAGACATCAAAACACTTCTTCACATTGGTTGCACCTTACCCGTCACCTCTTGTGAGGCCGAACGCTCATTTTCTGGGCTTCGCTGCATTCAAAGTTATATGCGCAGTACAATGAATGAGGATAGATTGTCATCACTAGCCCTCATGCACTTACATCATGCACGAACAATCAATGCAAATGCAATCTGCCAAATATTTGTGATGCAAAACAAAAGACGAATGTTCAAGTTAAGCATCTTGGACAATTAGATCTGATACAAGTCTGTTTGTAAGATTTTCACTTCTGTTCAAACATTAAAAAGAAAAGAAAAAAAGATAAAAAAAATTAAGAAAAGAGATAAAAAAGAAGGTTTTTATTGTGGAGGCCTCCTCTTGGCTAGAACTGGAAACGCTGATATTTAATTAATTTTCTTCTAGTAAGGTTGTTGCTTTTATATTGCATGAATATGTTGGTAGGCTCGCTCGGACCTTTCGTGTTAGTGTCATCTGCATACGATCGATACTAATTTTGAACATACCTTCTTTGCAATTTTCTCACGTTGTTGATTTTACAGGAAAACAAATAAAGATACTCATCTCCAACATTCTGTAAACACCGGTTACATGTTCTATTTTATTTTCGAATGATTTGCCAACACCCAGTTTTAATGGGAAAATTCGAATTACAGGTACGTACTGACGTTATAGGTAATCCGTTATTTTCTGACCATACTACCAAATATTTTTCAATATTAAATTTATTTTCGAAATCGAATAAAATTGTCACTGTCCCGCCTTGACAAGTTCTGGATATCAGGAAACCATTTCTGAACAAACTGATCTCCGAGCGTTTGCTTCAGGCTATTGAAGAAATCATATTGATATGGAAATTCTGTTTTTAAGAGAAACCAGATTTTTTATTCCATTTTAGGGAATGTGCTCCAGTGAAGGCTAATCTAAGTGTAACAGAGGTCATTATATATTTCAATACCTCCACTTGGAATCGACACTGGGACCTCTGGCTCACTATTCTGACGCTCAACCAATCGAGCTAAAGAGAAGCTCTTTTTAGCGGAGCGATATGTTGCGGCTATCATTTTACCAGGGTTACATACTCTCCATCTAGCAAACAACTCGCCCTCGAGTTTCCAGGAGTAACAGCGATGCTGGTAGGGCATGGCTAAGTATTATTTCCGGGTCCCTACATGGGCGCCAATGTAACGGAGGTCATTAGATACATGATGTATTTCATTACCTCCGCTTGGAATCGAACCCGGGACCCCTGGATTACTAGTCTGACGCTCAACCAATCGAGCAAAAGAGAAGTTCTTTCTAGCCGAGCAGGAATATTACGACTTCGTATATTTTCATTGTTAATTATACTTTGATTCCAAAACGAACCATTCTAAAATGTTGACAACTAATTCTAATGTAAGTCGACCAAGTTCTCCATAAACAATAAAAGTTGGATTGCAAGACCTTATTTTCAGTACTCTTTTGCAAAATTTCATTTTTGCTCCAAGGTTTTTTAGATTTTCAAACCCCCACACTTCCGAGTCGTACAGTAAATTGGCTAAACTACAGAGTAAAGATATTAAACTTGTAGGACAATTGGAATAGCATGGTTACGATTTGTTTACATTTCGAAAATTGCAGGAGAATTTCGGACTTTTTTTGCAACCCCTCTGGCGTCTCTGCAAAAAATAGTTTATCATCTGTAATTATTTCTAAATGAGCAAGTTCAATAGATTTCAAAATCATTGAAGAACATTGAAAATATATCATCGACATATTCTCGCCTTTCCTAATTCCAATCAAACGTGAAAAATATTAATGAAATTAAAGATATTTTCCAATTGTATTTTACACGTGAGATAATATTCCAGCTCGCCAAACAGTATCAAACACTTTACGAAAATCAATTTCAAGAGAAATTAACATGCAAAGATGAAGGTATTATCAACTCTCGAATGACCTTAATGGAATCCCGCTAGATTAACGAACGGAATATGTTTTGATCTTTCAAATTGGTTCAAGCGGCCTTTTTAAGGTGGATGTAAATAATGAAATAGTCACCTTTATTTTGAGTTATTTACAGGCGTTCCGAGCCGTGGTTGTTTTCTGTAGCTGTATTTTGAGAGATGCAGGTCGATGCAGACTATGATTTTCTGAGTTGTACGGTCGCCAGACAAATCACTCTCGATTGATTTCTAATAATCCAATTGATTTGTTTCTTACTGGCAAAATTAATGACTTTGTCACGATAAAGATATGTCAGACACAAAGACTGTTGCACCGAAATAGATTTCTCATAATGAAGACATTTCTTTCTCATAATAAAGACATTTCTTTGTCATAATAAAGACATTTCTTTGTCGTAATAAAGATATTTCGTTGTCATAATAAAGATGTGTCAGATTCATTATATTCATTAGTAAAGAAAAACAAAAACTTGATCATCAAATGCATTTTATCATCACAAGTACAGGACAAAAAAACCTTAATTCAAAGAACGTCATGTACATGTATATTGATGTATGGGTTTTGGGTTTCGAGAATTTATCAAATCGCGGAGTAAAGTGAAATTGATGATCAAGTTTTTGTTTTTCTTTACTAATGAATATAATGAAATGTAGAGAAACAAAACACAAAACAAAGCTAAAACTCATGTATGAATTGTTGGCTTTAATTCAAATAGTATCACATACTTATATTTGTTTATGTCCACAAAGTATTTTATGATTGAATTGCTTACAAAATGATACATACGCACAATTAGCTAATATACTGGTAGTTAGACGAAACTAAATCCCTCATTAACACATATCTTTGGTAGTTTACACATAGATCACTAATTCTTATAATTAAAACTGGCTTGGAAAATGGATAAACATGTGCTTTGTTTATTTAATGCTTTTTTAAAAATAAAATGTCATTACATATTTTGCACCATGATATAATTGGCTGGGAATAAGATCAATGACAATAATTACAAATCGAACTCTGGTTTTATTCTTGTACACAAAAATACTAGCAATATATTGTTTGACATTAAGGCAAACTAAAGAAGGTTACAGCTGTTGACCAATCAAATATCCCTGATTTTAATTCCGACAAATCGGATTGGAAGATAAAAACCCGAAAGAAATATGCTAGGTAAATCTCACTGTATCATTTATCTAAAGGTAATAGAAAAAAACCAAATAACGCCTGGTTTAGAAGTTGCTCTTATCCATAGCTATTCAAAATGCATTTGAATCGACCATTCTAATTTCAGTTCATTTTCCTCGACTTTTAAAATTAGAGCATATTAATTTGCGATAATTTTTCCTCGACCAAGTAATTTTCATTGCCCAATGAAATCTTTTTATGTAAGACAGTTATCACTCTACAAATCATAGAACCTCACTTAAGTACGAGTAGAATGCACAATGAACTATGTAACTTAACAACTCTTGAGTAGTCTACACGCTTTTTATACAAATTTAGAAACTGAGGATAAAGCAAATATTTTCGAATTAATACCCTTTTAATCCAATAGTTATCACTAACGTTAAACGTGTCATTAGTTAAAGATATATAAAGCACTAAATTATAACTACAAATACATCAGTGATAGAAATGCTTATTTTGTTATACAAAAGTACAGGAAAAAGAATTGCAAAGTACAAAAATACATGTTCTATATATATATTAAAATACAAACTGCATCAGAGATGATGGCAAATGGAAGACGATATAAAAGAGTAAATAAAACATGTGAAAATATACACAATCGCTCGTAACATATATCATTAATAAATTCATATCATTATATGAAACTCAATTATCAAAGTGTTAAAATATTTTTTCCCAAATCCTGGTCTTTGTCCTGGTAAGAAAATTATTTTCATGAGAATGTTGGACACAAAAATCTTTCAATAATAGAACAGCTGAGCAAGACCAGCCCGACCATTGTCTATCACTACGATGAATGCCAGCTTTCTTTTCACGATCTTCTTAAATGTTTATTACATGTTTGTGGATGGCTTAATATAGTAAGTAGGTCATGTCAAGAAAATTTTGCCACATTTTACAAGACAAAGAAAAAAAGAGAGAAAGAAAAAATGCGTGTTGAAATAACGAGTCATCGACGGAACAACGAGTGTTGCATTTATTTTCATCTAGAAAACATGGACGATTATACTGGCATTGAGTAAAGGCACAATTTAATGTAGCATTCAATTATACAAATGTTATAAAACATACAATCCATATACAGACAATTATCTCTGATTGCAGCTGGTGAAAGTATACACAAGCGAGGTTTTCACCTCTGAATTCAAGAGATGAACTATTATTAAGTTGCATTGCAAAGTATTATGAATGATATAGACAATTAAGTTTCTAGTGATAAAATTGGTTAAAACTCCGTCTGGAAAAATTGAGATTTGTAACAATGTTTTTTCATTCAAACATAAATGCAACAATGTGCAATGTTCCTGTTTGCTTTACTGGCAGTTTGGATGTTTGTAGAAAATAAATACGACAAACTACAAAGACATCGCATTGAAGACATAATGTAACACTTCAATAGAACAACATCTAAAAATAATAATAATAATAAAAGAAATCGTATCGATCATTTTAACAAGACTGCCATGAAAAAAATAATCGTTTAATAAGTGCTGTCTTCTAACAGAAACAATCAGCAATGGAATTTAAATTGATCCTTGATACGAAAATCTTTTCCTGAGAGACAGTTTTAGACTTGTTTCCCACTATACACAGTTGCTAAGGTGAGGGGGCATTCGATTTGTTAACCAATAACTTACGTTGAATAAAAAGCATAACATTACTTACTAGTAGTTGTATTTCACCGGCAGTAATCGCATACATATGCAGGTAAACCTACACGTTTGAAAAAATAAGCACGTTGTAAAAATGTATTCCCTTAAAAGAATTCGTTAATATATTTGAAGAGCTGTTTGAAGGGCTCCTCAAAATAAGACGGCGAGAGAGTTGAATATATAGGATCTGTAAAATCTTTTACACCCGTGATTTATAACTTATTCTATTGGTCAGCCGTTAGCATTGAAAATGAAACAACAATATTCAAGTGATATTAGTACCATATACTTTACCTCCTGTTCGTTTTGTACTGCTGATTTCAGGTATGAGAGTTTCTATACGTTATTAGTGAATAATTACAAATAAAGAGCTATCTTCATGCATGTTAGATCTTAACAGTTCCTCGCAATAGCAGTGAGCAGATATAAATGCTAGGTATATCACAGCATCCAAACAAATCTTGGCAGCATTTTATAGGAAGCAAGGAGCTGTATCACAGCTATGTCTTGGATTTACTGAGCTATACATCAATATACTATGACCATAAATTGGTCCAAAATGCAGTTCATTAAAAAATAAACTACACAATTGTTTCTTCTGAAAACAAGAGTTAATCGCTAAACTACAATACTCCTATTGCATTAGAGATCAGTTCTCGATATCTATGGTACAACTGCTTTCTGTGACAAAGGAACACCAATAGAAGAACCGCTTGTATGCTTCGTTGGCATATACAGTATTTCTGTTAATCCCAACTGCGTTCACATGGACAGTTTGCAAGAAACACAATTCACTCATTATTTAATAATATCGTTAAGAGACAGCAGTGAGAGTTCGTCACTGTATGACCACTGACTGTGCTATGTGAGAGAGTATGTCATCATGTCCACTGATTGTTGCTTTGGAAGATTGCAGCATTGCTCCCAGACATCGTCTTCAACACACAGGACAACACTGGTTTGGAACTTTCCTCGGAAAGTCACAGTCTGGTATATGGCACAACTGAGTTGTACATTCTACTCGGCCATTCTGAAAACACAACACGACAAATTTTATGATTGGTGAAGCCGACTCTCATGCGTTATGCAAGGTACATCTTATCAGTTTTCAAAAACTAAAATATGAATTTTCATTTTTAAAAATCTTTATAATCAACAACTGAATTCTTTAAATGACCCATCGATGACACTACACTTTATGCGTTCTGATTTATTTTGCAACTATCACGAAATATTTTCAGCTTATACTGATCCCTCTTTGTTGGTAGAGCGCTGGATGTCTGAAAACAGGACAAAATCAGAGTATATAGAAAATTATCATTTATCACATAACCGACCCGTTTTCCCATGTCATACGCCCAAGTCAAAATAATGGTAATACACATGTGTAATAAAGGTTTGGGGTCTTCTGATTGATCAAAACCGTGGGAACGTATTCATACGCCCGCGCGCGTACTACTTTTATTTACTACGACAACAAACTGTAGTAAGATATGGCTGACCAGATCAACATTGGCGACACAGTTTTTATTGATAAGAAGGGGACTGGTGTGGTGAAGGAGATAATCCCACGGGGGTTTGCTGTATTTTATAATGTTGAATTGTGTGGGATTGACTTTCAAATTGAGCTTGAGCGCGATCGTATTGAAAAGATTGTAGATCCCTCCCAACCGCAGACGACCGCTCCGGATGGCGGTCCTATTGCCCCTGAACCAAGTCGTTTCGTTTCAGTCAGAGAAGATGAGGTGGGGAATTTTATACATAATCAATCAAACAAGAATACGTTCACAAAAACCACCTAAGCGAATCCGAAAAGCTATCATTGAAAGTGACAGTGACTTGCAGTAACTGGAGCAGTTAGGCTGAACCTGATGACCCGTAATGACGAGGCGAGGTGACGTCACGTTACCAATATCAAGTGAGATTTTTTTTTAAAGTTATTTTGGCAGTAAATAGAATTTAAAGGCTTTACTTTGTCGATATTATTTTGGAACATAACAATCTCTTATTCAATCATTGAAAAAAGGTAGGCTCGTGGCATATCAAATTCCATAATACATTGACACGAGCGCAAGATCCTCTATGAATTAGAATTATAAAATTCGGTACTTGTAACTGAGCGAGATCAGGATATCTCAGTCGAGGACTAAGATCCTGTAACTTAATCCCAACCGAGTCGTTAACCGAGATTAGGATGTTACAGGATCTTAGCTCGAGATTGGTAACTGTAGAGATTATTTTTTGGTGATTTGAATTTTTGCGGATATACCGAATGCTTGAAGTAAATTAAATATTCATTCCGCGATGAAAGGGCCAATGCTTTGTTTCATTGATGTTTTTTCAAAGTGTCTGGAGAGAAAAAAGAGATGATTTGTGAATGGTAACGTCTGAAGTGTAGAGTAATACGAGGACGCTGATTTGTTATATGTTTGCAAGATGTAAATGAAAACGGGTAAATTAGTTTGAAATGGCAGTTTGGTTTGTAAGTGCATGTAGCTAAAAGGAGTCATTGTACATTAATTATACCTGACATATACAGTCTTTACAATCATGCATCCTCCATCGCTGATTTTCGGGACGGAAATGACCTCTTTCATCTACACAGCCAGCCTTCGGATGTTTCCTCATATGTCTGTGCATTTTCTTCATCTGTAATAACATATTGTGTTTTAGACGGAAAATTGCACACTCACTTTCCATTTGGTTGTTCAATTCATGTTTATATACAATAAACTCTATATGTTATGAAAATACATTTCAGTTGCACGGTTCAGAATAAACACATTAAAAACAATTAGGCAATTCATTGAATTTGGGGCTAAGTGCACCTCCCCATCCAGATTGTGACTTTTTCTTCGATTATTTGTAGGCTTCAAACTTTAGACCCATAGCAACTGACGAGTTAAAGAAGAATGAAACAACTGTATCATGCAGTTTATTTAATTCATTCTACTACATCAAGTTGTATCATATGTATTTTCACTTGTGTGTCTTTTGTATAATCTTTCAGATGATAACACGTTCCGTTAACACCATAATTTTTACACTAAAATTATGCGCTAAAACTATGGTTGCTGATTGGCGCTTAGTGCAGTTTCTATAGGTTGCTTAATAAGTGATTCCAGTGGATGCATAAATTCATGACTATTCCGGTATCTAAAACAATGATTGCGCAAAGTTAAGTATGTTTTAAGCATCGAGATTAAAAAATATTTATCAACTATCCCCGATTACATAAATCATGAGCTTTACTTTTAAAAACTCAAGCGCATCAAACAGTAACCACATCACAATTATGATACGAGTATCCTACCTTCCTTCTGAGGTATTTAAGCGTTTTAGTGAGACCACTAATTGTTCCTTCCATGCCTTCCATTCGAGTTTCCATCACCGACATGCCTTCCTTCATATTCTCAAGACTAGCCATAGTATTCTGGTATTCTCGGCCCTCTAGTACATGCTCCCTGTCTTCACGATGAGACTGGCGGGGAGTGGCGGCTCGCTGGAATTTACTAGTCAGTGTTTGGAAATCACCTGCGTCATTACAATCTGAAGAGAGAACACGCATACCTTTGTAACAAAATTTACCAATATTAACGGGAAATTTTTAGCATTTGCTACAAAATTTGCATTGAATTTTTGAAAATCTGAAATATGCATACATTTGAAACATTTGCAAACAGCACAGATGATTGTTTTTCATCAATTATTAGTGCAAAATTGAGGTTTTGCTTTTACTTTTACTCTTTAATTAATTGAAATTTTATTAATGACCAGTATTCGCCATTTTACAGTACAGTTTTCAATAAATGGTTCATTGCGATTATAAGCATATATGCTACTGATAATGAATGCAACGATACAAATATACTACTTTTATAGTTTCATGTTGTATGGACGTACCTGCGCAACATTCTGCCCAAACTTTAAGATTGATGTTTGGGATTTTATTACAGGGTAGGTACTGCGTGTAGTTGTCGACTCGAGCGAACACGTCTTCCTGTACCTTGTCAATGTTATCACTGCTGTCACAGATGACTCGCGCCAATGTTGTCTGCTTGATGGCGTGTATCTGCTCAGGTTCATACATTTTGGAATTCTCGTACCAGAACCTGTACAAAATGAAAGCAAATCACAGAGGACATTAATGGTGGCTGCAATGGGTTCTAGTGGATTTAAGGAATCCAGCAATGTCTACGCATTAATGCTTTCATAGCTGATTGTATCAAAGACACTCTTCGTACGTATATTTCTGTATTTAGTTTTAATCATAAGTTGTGATAATCTTTATAAAAGTATCCGATAGCATTTATTGAGTATGATGTAACGTGTCTGTCATAATGACGTCATTTCTTAAATAGGTATGATTTCATATTAAATATGATGCTTATAATTATGTTAGCATTAATGAGGCTGGAATGTTAAAACAGGATTCCTTGCCTGCAGTCGCAACGAACAAAAAGTGATGAAAACAGAGAAAAGAGAACGTATTCAAAGCATTTGTCATTTACCATTAGATGAGTACATGATCCATACGATATTTGTACGAGCTGCTATGTGCATTTATGGGACATTATATTTTTTTTAATTTACTTAAAGACAAAATAAATCAAGTATAGCTAAAGGGGAGTAACTCGTGTTGAACTGTAACAAAAACATTGGCTGACTATTGATAAATATTCTTTTTACAGTGGATAATTGAATACTTTTCAAGAAACCGTGTTTGTTTTGGGAAAGTAAGTATATTTGTTTCTAAAAAGCAACAAATAAACACACTTTATCACCTACCGGTATATAATAAATATCCAAACCGACAAGATCCGTTTTTGTGCCGAGACTCGACACGTTTTGTGTTTTTGTAATAGTTAATTAGAAGATAATCATTTTCTAATTTGAAAGTTGTTATTAAGGTTTATTACCATTTAGTAACGTGCTGTCAAGCAAACAGGTGTTATTTCTGGTTGCTATAGATACGATACCTACCGGTCACCGGCACGGATTTTCTTGAACTGGTCCACGAGGATACACATGAAGGTAGGACCAACCTTGGCCCCTGGCAGGGGTGTTTCACTCATTCCTCCCACAAATAAATCAATATTATCTGAAAAAGGTAAACAAATTCATGGTATTGATTTTACTTTTTTATTTACAAAATGAATATACTGCTAAATAAAACAGGAAAACTGACTCTAACAGTATTTTTATTTTTCCTCATTTTGACATACAAGTTTACTAATAATATCACTTACCCGGATGACCATATAGAGCTTGTAGCTTGTCACGGACATCACTACTGGTGATTTCAGCTTGAAAATCCGAAAAACTGGCTGCCCTAGACATGCCACATAATTCCCGATATGCGTTGTAGAAGGGCAGGCCATGGTCACGTCCTCGCTGAATATTCAACGAGGCCAAGTCTTGTGCCACAACATTGGCCAGAGAAAACAATTTTTCAGTAAGTTCTGAGTTCATCATTTCACTGGGCATTCTCTTTTTTGCCGAAACAGCAAACATGCCGCGAAGTAAGGGGTCGATTCCGCCTTCCTCCAGCAGTCTATAAGGCGAAAAGAATGCCTTGTGTAATTCGAGGTTTCCTTCTGGGATTGGGTAGAAACTGGAATTTAGTCTAAAGATGACAGGTTGAACAAGAGCATGTCCGAACCTCATAGCAGCGGTAGCGAATTCATTAGTTATCGTGGGGTCGACATCTGGGTCATAACCGGTATATGGACCAAGTTTCTCCATGCCCTCTTGGCCAATGATGCTTGGGAGCCAGTGGTTGTACGTGATATGCTGCATCATGCCACCAATTATTTTTCTAGACTCATGAAAGATCATATTTCCGTCCCAGTGTACATTGATCTTACCAAGTTCATGAGCTACATGGTTATGTTGGCGCATCCATAGCGTGTGCATTGCTGTAAGAGCCAAATGTTCGTTTACACGATTGTCTCCAGCACGGAAGCAAGGTACGTGCTGCTTGCTTGGTTCAATCTGACAATCGATATGCTCCAAAAACCCTGAATTGTCGAAGGGTAGAAGCCTTTTCCTATTGGTAGATATCGGTCCTTCCCTTAAAAGCCCACGACTATTGGTTAGCTCCCTTAATCTTTGGATGTCAAATTCGCTACTACCATACACGTTACTTCCGTCTACGAAAGCAGTGATAGCATTTATTTGTTGACGAGCTGAGAATGTCTTGTAGAAGATGGAAGTGCTACCAGAATTACACATGGCACTACTCCGTGCGAACCCAAGACAAGGATGGGTCTGGATGCGAGAGTCGCTGCGAGGTACTGGGATTGGGAAACATGGGTACTCATTGTCACAAGTCTCATTACAGCGTCGACCATCGCTAAAGCGGGCATAGCTGATTGACTGTGGTGTTAGAGTGATATCGTGGTCTACGAACTGTCCCCATTGCATAAGCATATGAGTACTAGTTTCATCCTCTGTTACATGGTCTGTTGACATTAGGAAGGAGGAGACGAGACGCGGACTGGGAAGGTGAACACCATTGTATTGCTTTGAAGAACTCCAGCCTGTCAATATAAAAAATTCAAGATTTGTAACGTTATCTCTAGGGATCTTAAAGTCAGGAGTATTCAATATGATCTCGTCTAAGTGATGATGTAGAAATATAGATCTCCTTAAGTCTGAATTGTAGCTGGACATGAGAGTCTCCAAACGTTATGGCTTACCTGAAGGAATGTTTGAATCTGGTCTAACTTGTGGCTTACCTAGGAGAATATCGAATCTGTTATTGTAGATAGGTTAAGAGGTTCGCAACAGTCTATGACCTACCTGTTGTGTTGTTGAATTGGTTTTTGCAGCTTGGTAGAGAGTTCCCTCGCAAAAGTTTATGACTAACCCTCATGAATGTTGAATGCTGTTCTTGTAGTAACAATGTTCGGGGAATCTTTGACTTACCAACAGGAGTGTTGAATCCGTTCTCATATATGGGTGGGAGAAGTCTGCTGAACGCCGTGACAGTTGCCCCATTCAGTGGCTTCTGAAGATTGTTGCACGTCCCGTCCATCGTTCGGTACTTCTTATGGTAACACATATTGGTGCATTTTGTTATACGGGGATTTGCAAAGCATCCTGACATGTTGGCGATCAGAGTAAGATGACCAGGGGAGATGATATCACGGTAGCTGTCACCTAAATAAAAGGTCAAATCTAGACATCATTCACAGACAGGGTTGGCGGCGAAACAGAATGGTGATCCTAACAGTAGGTATCACGTACATAAGAGGTCAATTTAAGGCCAGATCAATTTATCATAAATTAATGGCTTAATTTCAAATCTCCTCCAAAATCTCACTAAAAATCACTAAGCTTTATGTTTTGATAGGAAACCTCCAAAATTAAAAGCATATCGATTGACCAGAGGATGACGAGGACAGTACTAAACGACATCGTATATGAGATGATATAATAGATATGCGATGGATTGTCTGCATGTAGACTTCAGTAATAAGAACACTGATAAGAATGAACATTTCAAAGAAATATGAGCTCAAAGCTCTGATGCAGAGTGATAGTTATTATAACACAAGAAAAAATTTAATACAAATGCTTTTAATTTACAAATGTGTGCAAAACCATTGGATCTATATGACAGGCACATTATGTACACTACCTGTGGTATCAAGGTTATAGGTGTGCCCTTCGCGAACGTGCCGAACAATGATATCCAGCGTCTGTTCGAATATCTCCTCCGCTCTAGCCAGTTCCAACGCTTCGGCTGCAGGATATCGGAAAATAGCTATTAGATCCTGGACACTGTGCTGTCTTGAGCGGTCAAACAGATGACGCTGTGTGTCATTGATGGCCACGTTCACACGATTGGTAGCTTCTCTTATGGCCTGGCGCACAAATGCGTCTCCTTCAAACGTACGGTCATCACCTACGTCAATGAGTCAAAGATAAAATTGTTCAAATTTACTTTCATATCGTCCTTTTGTAATTCCAATCCTTTTTAATTTATGATTCCATTTTAAGTACATACAGGTTTCCATTTTGACTGGGGTTACATTAGACAGTAAACGAAACACTGAAGATCACATGAGATGGTTGTTTAAAATGAATATCCATCAATTCAAATGACAATGGTACGGTTATGTTTAGGGTTTCATTAAAACAAACAAACAAACTATTATGAAGAAAAAAAAAAGATACGCAAAGCCCCACCCCTCAAACCAACAACCCCGACCACCCCATCCATCCACTCTAAAACAGTGACAATATTGATGTTTCGTGTGCAATATATACCATTCAAAGACAATTTGAAATTATCGGCAAATGCTTAGTGACTCTACTAAGAAAGTCATGCTTTATATTTGTAGCACAATGAATATTGTATTATTTATTGGTACCTGTAACTTTGAGTAAGACAGCTTTCCTGTTGAATCCGACAGTGCCTTCAGGGAAACACTCATATTTGCCAGCGTCACTTGGGACAATATTCCTGATGACGAGCCGATTCCCCTGGAAGGAGTATTTTGGGCCAGATTGCAGTAATACTTGATCCTTAATCCACCGATACTGTGGAATGAAGTCGTCGGTGGCACACTCTAAGATACTATTGGTGCCAACAAAAGTTTCTACTTCTACGTTGGCGGGAAACTCCTGAGTCTGGGCTTAAACAGACGATGTTAACATTAATGTATATCATCAAACACACCAAAAGCATTAAAGAAATAACAATATGTCAACAGAATTAGAATCAAAGTCAATAAACCCAGGACAAAATATGAACAAAAGAAACATGAAGACTCCTGAAAGAGAACAATGATAATAAGACTAGATCTCACAATAGAGTGAGCGTCTTCTGCTTCATTGACAACACCCGCCATGTTGATTTTAGTTTATAAAGTAAGTAATGTTACGTTCACTAATGAGAACATTGTATACAACAACGGAACCAGGCAAATACGACAACTGTACACTTGGAATGAATGCAGAGTGTGCTGTATTGACGTTACTGTGACGTTATCTATTGGTCAAAAATTTATCTTTTATCATAACATTATCAACACTTTAATAACACATTAAGAGGCCGATATATCTAAATCGTTGGTGGATCAAGACTCTTATTGGCCAAGGAAAACACATCTATTTACATTTATAATCAATGAGCAAGCCAAAGCATTGTTTATATGAAATACCATGTTGCATAAGGTGTTGATTTAAAGACACATTTTTATTTTGTTCCGCATTCTTAAAAAGTTTACTGTGATTTTGTTATGATTAGCGTGTCTTATTTTGTAGAGTATCTATAGAATATAGAATAGAGTGTCTAAATTGACTCTAGCTACCTTAAAATTACCAAGTGAGAAGGGAGATAAATGTGTCGGTATTAAACAACGTTATATGATCACGCAAAATATTATTCATACACTTGTTTAATTATATTGCTTTTCCTGTGTGAATTACATTCTGATTTTTTAAAAATAATAATAGATCGGAACCCTTATCAAAATCACATTTGTTTTAGTCATCAATTTAAATCATTATCTTGAAGCATTTAAGAAACGGTAAACAGATCGTCTTTCTGTAAAAACAGCATTTCAAGTAGTCTAGTATGTAAAACCTAAACCATCGCCATAGTACAACCAGGTGTTACAACTAATGTCTGTTTCTTGCCTGCGATTTTTCAAGAGATATGACACTCCCAGGTGGAAAATCAAGATTTGTCATACAGCCAAACATTCCATATTTTAGCATATGAAATTACGTCTGCAAAATATCACTTATTAGAACATTATTATGCACTAAAGTCACTGTTTTTCCTAGCTCATAACAGCCAGTTCTCAGTTGTTGAAATATAGGACTTTTTTTCAAAGGCAGCGCCATTTATAGGATTCTACAGGCCACAAATCAAGGACAAAATTTAATATTTCTTTACAATAAGAAAACGACTCACAGCATTCGATAGTTTAACAGTAAAAAACAGCGACACAAAGTCACCATAGGGCAGTACAGTGTAAGAATCATACAATGAATTACTCTACATAAATAGATTTATAGCTTAGTCTTAATGTCTTGCCGCCCTTACTTGGTTGTGTAATTCTTAGCTCTGCACTAGCTTCAGCTGCTCCGGCAGCATTAGTCAATTTACAGGTGTAAACTCCCTGATCAGCGTAGACGACCCGTGAAAACCTCAGCATTGCTCCAAGCTCATAGACCTGTATTCTGTCATCCAACGGTAATAGTTCGTCTAATAAAAAGGGAAGTTCTTTTATTTATATAATTCGCTCAACTTGTAATTCATATACAGATGAAAGTGTACAAGGGCAATATAACACCTAAATTTGAACCTCTTTAGGGACTTCTTCTGTGTAATGATTTTACAACGGTTAAGCATTTTTATTTTTACAAAAGACTTCCTTAAACAAACACGGAAATGAAGATAAGTCAGCACAACACTCAGAATTTATTTTTACTAAGGTTCTTAAATCACCTCGAACGATAAACCCTTAATCTGATGATATCCTGTCAAGAAAGTCAGGAAGTTAATCTATGTAATGTCACGTTTCCAAAGATCGGTACCGGTTTAAAAGCATTTCAGTTGTTTTATTCAACATGTATCAGACATTATTTACTACGACAAGGGAAAGACAAAACTATACCAACCGTCTTTGAACCATGTAATGACCGGAGTTGGTGTTCCAGTTCCGGTACAGCGAAACATGGAAGTGCTTCCTTCTACTGCTTCATGGTCCTCTGGTCTCCTTGTCAGCACGGGGATTACTGTGAGGCAGATACAGCATTACCATAAATCCTATATTCTCGCGAAAAGTTTTGTTCGTGGTTATGTAACACACTAAGAAGTAACAAACATGACAGAATCAGATTTAATGATGATGAAAATTACTAAATAATAGAAATTCACCACCATGAACGACTGCATGGAACTATACGACAATTGTTTAACTCTGTACAAAATGAAAAAAATCCCACCAAATTGAATAAAACAAAAATTGGATTTGACAGATGGTAGCTTATAAAATGCCTTTATAACTTAATGACTGAACACAAAATGAAAGAGTTATTGATGGTTTGAATATCATCGCGATCATACAAATTCCATTATATCTACACGATGATTTGAACTTAACTTTCATGACAAAGACTGACATTCAAATTTCATTTTGTGAGCTCGTTAACTATATACAACATATCTTGCGGTTTACATGTTAACAGATATGACATTTATTGTCCTCTTTAATGTTTTTCTAAATAGTTTTACATATCAACTGTAAAATGTTATTCTACTTCCGTCAAAACATTCACCAGTATAGTAATAACACATTCCGATTCTAAATCCATCTATGAAACTTGACTATATGACTGACAATATGGTTTGTAAATTGACAGAGGCAAATTCTTGGCAAAACGATTCCAAAGATATCTATATGTATTGTTTTAACAACGACAACAATAATGCATGATTTAGACGTGTCATTTTAGGGAAACTTTAAACAAGGATGCAGTTGGAGAAGAACCAATATCCTTTCACAATAATGTTTAAACGCGCCGAACTTTCATCGATTGGAATTACCTCTTAAACATTTTTCATCACAAAAATAATGTTCTTTAATCTAAAGAAGAAACATATCATTATGTTGATAATAAAATCTTTTGTCTTAAAAAAACAAAAAATCACATTGCAGAAAATTTGTTCCAGAAAGGAATCGAATCTTTGGGATTACAATGCTCCATGCATAACAAACATGTTCAGTTTTAAGTATATCTTACCATATCGACCACAGCTGAACTGACGCTCACTCAGGGTACCTATGGCCCTATTAAGGACCCGTTCAGGTGAATGACATGTCCCAGTAACCTGGACACGAGATCTCCTCCTCTGTACCATGCGAGTAATCCAAAGCAGATCACAGTCACAGTGGACCGGGTTCTCATCCAGACGTCTAAATGCAACACAGCGAAAGCTATATTATCACTTTCTTACAATTGTTTTTAAAAGCCTACCTCAAAAATGAGCTTATCCTAAATATAAGCATGTAATTTTGAACATATATAAACATGCTTTTGTATAATCCTTATCACTGCAAAGAAAAATTATGAAGCCATGCTTTTATGTATTATAAAAAAAATAGCTGTACGGGAAAAAAGGGGCTAATTTGATTACGTGTTCTTAAGTTGTGAATCGGCTGCATGTTTTCTCAGAGCAGATCATATACTCATGTATTTACAAAACAGATATTAAATCATTACTTAATTTTCTAGAATTTCATGGCTAAGAAGTTCACACTTACTTAACACCAAAATTAACATATAACCTGGTATCAAGGAAACATACTGGGTCTAAAGTCTCTGTTTACATAACTCGCGATAAATGTTCTTGGTAAAGATATGAAAATTAACTAGAAACAGGCCTTATAAAAACTGTACTGTGTACGTAAACAGTGTTATCTTTGGATGGCGTCCTGGAGCTGTAGAGTTTCACACGATGTTTCTCATAATTGTTAATTTAAGCCTTTACGTACTACGCTGTAGACGTCAAAAGCTATACATGTAATTTACAGAGATATATCACGATTTGAGTTGATGTAATTTAAAGATAACTTGGACTGTATCACATTCATATGAAATATGATGAAATTGTCCACCCCTAGTATACATTTTCAGAGTTCAGTCCACTGCACTAACTTGACATTAGTCTTAATCACATATACACATAAAACTGCATACTCAGTTTGTTAAAGAAAATATATAAGACTCCCCAGATGTCTATTTCTAACAAAATCCACGAATTTCACAGATTTTGTGTATAAATATTTAGCGATTAAATAAACAAAACTTTCAAGAATGTATAAATATCAGCCCACTTGAAGAGAACTGGTCGTGCACTAGTGACGGTGCACAAATTATCAAATCAGCATAGAAAAAAACCCAGATCTAGACCTACTGTTATGCATACGTATGTTGCTTTGCACCATATATCTTCAATAAAAACCACGGGAAATTCCATAGTTTCACAGCACAGAGAGTTAAGTGACAGCTGTGGTTTGATTTAACATTCAACAAGACGGCAGTTTATCTTTATACCCCAGTAAAACATATGCCAGCTTCGGAAATACGTACAGTCGTTGTAATTTCGGTGTGTTGTCAAAAAGACCTTCTGGAAGACTCGATATGTTGTTGTTATGCATAAATCTGAAATAATCATCAAGAAAACAGGTTTGATTTCATTTTTAGTATACATTTCAAAATAGATTTCATTGAATAAAAAAAAGCATAATTACAAATTAAAATACGTAAGTAACACAGTGAGTCAACAAATGAATGATACGTACAAAAATCACAATGAAATACACGTGGAATGACCAAAACTTCCATATATTTTAATTTTGTTTTTTTTATTAAATGATGTAATGCTCATTATATGAGAAAAAAGTGTTTTATATATTATATTTGAGATACACAGCATGTTCTTACATTAAGTAGTGATTTTTCCTGATTTGATATACTCTATATATATCGCAGATTAACGGGGAAAAAATACCCAAAAGACAATTTATCAGCACCCCCATAATTTATTGAATTATAGGGCAAGTGCTCCGCCCATGTATCTTTTGATATTTCTTTCTATTACTTTCCTTAGCATCACTGGCGAGTCCCGGAAAGGTAAAACAGCTGTATGATGCAGTTTCATTAATGTTATGCTCCATTATTCTAATTCTAATTTTTTTATTAAAAGGTGTTGACTTTATCAACTTCCAATTTATGAAGAATTAGCCTCATTATAAGAGGCTGGTGAATTAAGGAACAAAGAGTAGCACAACGATGATACTGATTCATAACGGGAGTCTGCCATTTCTTCTAGTAGTGCTGATTAATATTGTAAAGATGAAAATATTTTTCATTTCTGCTTCACTCTTAATTATTTATATATATTTTGCATGAATTAACACCAAAATGGAAAACGACATACAGAAACACAAAATACAAACAAAAGACAGATGATGAAATATTATTGTTAGTGCGATTGTGAAATTATGCAAACTAAGTAAGGATTTAGAACTGTTTGATGAAGACGGCCAAAATACAAACAAAAATCAAAAGATGTAGAAGTCCATCAGACAAAGCATCAGTTAAAGCAGTGTTCTTCGTCATTGAAAGTAATGCTACCTTTCACTAAATGCACAATGTCAGATAATATGCATGCATAATATACGTCAATGAAATGCGAAACATGTATGTACTGTTTATTTGTTTCATTTTGTTAGACATTCAGATTATTACATGATGTAAGACAGTAAGCGAAGTGGAATTTCACAGAATGCCAGTTATATATTTAAAAAATACTGCAATATGTCTCTTTGGCTTAATTCATGATGTTAGTCACAGTAACAGTACGATTACAAGAGCTTTCAAGAAAGCAGCATAAAGAAGGTTTACATTTACACTGCTGATCGGCAGTATCAAAAGCGTTTCAATGACCTTAATGATCTACTATCCATCATGCAACAGGGTATGATTTCTTTCACTACTTTTTTAAAATATAGTATCTAATTAAGTACCAGCTGTTTCCTACACGTGTGAAATTAAATCCATTCCAATTGTTATTTGTAAAATGGTGAAATAAATGAACCAGGACCTATATAAAAGAGAGTTAACCTTGTATTTGAGTGATGAGGCGACGAAATACAGGTGTGGATTTTTTATGTTACACAATCTCACAAGCAGGTGCACGAGGTAACAAAACTATCCTAATTGTTCACAGAGCTATCACCAAAGCAAAAAGACAAGATAACTCTTAAGACATACAAACTTTTCATATTTGATAAGTGACAATAATTTTAAATGTACACGGTGATAAACTATACAAACGGTGTTAGGAATTAGAAAAACGAAGTAAATAACAGTAAACATTCGGTACGGTTAATATTGGCATTTACAACGTTGTATCTAAACTGTTACAAGATCAATATGAAACTTCAGTCACTTCCTACCACGGATTTATTTGTGTATATTAAGCTGCCAAACAATGATAAAAAATCCGGAAGCCCAAAATAATTCACTTCCTTACACTTGTTTCATACCAGATATTTAAAACTTTTTTTTCTTTCTCTTCAATCATTTTTTACGCTGATCTCGGGAAACATCTATTGAAACAGGAAACAGTTCTTAATAGGATAATATAAATCTTACTAGCAGAAGATCTGATGGGGATGTTACCTACTCAACGCAGGAGAACAAGCTGTTTAGCGAATCATGGGTAGATTTATGGCAGGGAAATCTTTAAGAGTAGTTCTGTTGAGTGGCTGATGGGAGGATGAGGCAACATCACATAATATACACTATCTTCCGGTTCATACACACACAAAAATTAATGTATATAAATAATATGATAATAAAACACTATTTTTCTAATTATTCAAACTGGATTCAGAAATATTTTCAAATTTACCGGATGTTTTCGTTCAATTTTATTATGAAAATCTGTGAAAAACTAATAAAAATTCATGTTTAAACATGCAAATTAATTATTTAATCTATACTATTCATATTGATTTCAAAGTTTCCAAAATGAAAACAATTTCTTGGTCCTGTAGTCATTGTTCCGGCTTTTGGGATGGCCAACACCAAATGATTTTATTCACGATATCAATGGTATATTGACCTGTGATCCAGCGAATTCCTTAACCGTGAAGTGTTCAAGCAAGTGAAATCAACACCATGCGAATGGCACCCGCTATGATAATCGAATGTAGTGACGCTTGGTGACGTAAGCATAAAAATACCACTCTGAAATACTCACACCTGCTCAAGTTTCCTCAAATGTCTAAACGCTTTACTTTCAACAGAAGTTATTTGATTTTTATATACATATCTGAAACAAGAAATCAACATGTTAAAGCTTAAATCTAAACAATGATTTATTCATGGGATTTGTACAATGAATTTTTTACAAATCAGGAAATGATCAATACAATCTTGAAACACTTTGTTCAATAAAATAATACCGTATCGCGATTTTCTCCGACCTCATATGTCGCTAGCAGACAAATTGATTGTTACAAATATGTTCATGATAGTTGGAAATCTCTTTTTCCATATTGAGTGTCGTAAATATGATTTGTTAGTAAATTTAATATCATTAAATATAAATCACAAATTAATGTGTATATCTGGTTTTTAAGTCATATAATATTTTCTGAAAATTATAAAAACAATTTTGAATTGTATCAATGATTTCTTGTATACTAAGACTCCAAACTCAAGTTGGTTTGGTCTTAATACAAATAGTTCGAGAGTGTGGAATAGACTTCGTTCTATAGCTTACAAACAATTATGTAATGGTGTTATGAAGATATATAAAAAGTGGATAGCATGCATGCATATTTTTTTGCTTCTCCTAGATGTTAAAACTACACTGTTTAGGGTCGGTGAGTACACATGCCACATCACTTAAAGTACACTGACTACATGCTAATGATGTACATTTCAAGAAAAACATGTTACAGAAATCTTTGATGAAATATTTTGCAGATGTCGAATGGAATAGCAGCAGATATCGAGATTCCTTTAGTGTGATGTAAATGCATTATACCTACAAATGTGAGCTATTTAGCTTCTCACTAATGATAAGGTTACTTGCAAAATACTTTTTTGTATTTATTTTGAGCCATGGCTCAATATCTTAGAAAAGGTATTTGAAGGGATAAATAGTGTATGGATTTATATCATCAAATGATATTTCAGATAACTAGAGAAGTTATGTGACTTATTGTTCTCAGATTGTTTTAAACATATGATGGTATTGTCGGTATACATTCATCACAATAACGGCCTGTTCCGCTCAGTTGTACAAGGAATGTTATGACGTCACCTAGTAATAGCGTAATATGATCGTAGTGGAAATGTAACATTTAATTTTTATTACAGGAATTTTTATTGTTTTTTTAATCATACATATTGAGTGATATCTTTATTCTAATATTACAATATCGTCATTGTGGAGTAAAACGTATCAAATCTCGTAAATACACTAAGTCGTTACAAACTTGATTAATTGATTCATTTGCACTCCGAGGCTACTAAGTAATTGCCTACTTAAAATTACAAGTAAGGTTCCGTAGGCATTATACAAGTCTGCATGATGATATAGAAGATATAGTAAGTGTGGTTTAATACCTTAATCATATTTTAGTGGTTGGGATATAGAACCAAAATACGGCTGTAGTGAGACAGAACAATCAAACTATAGGGGGCCGATATAATGGTAATAAGACTGGAGTGGATCAGGCATAGTTTTGAAATTAGGTTACTGTGGATGTGTTTAGCATCCAAATCAGCCTACAGTGGGCGAGGCATGATATTTAAATCAGGTTGTAACGATTGGGGTATATTATAAAATCAAGACTGTATTGAGAGAGGGAAAATATACAAATTAGAGACATTTTATCATATCAGGTTGTAGTGGGTGTAGTAAACTACCGAAATTAGATTTTAGTGGATAGGGCAAAGTACCGAAATCAGACTGTAGTAGTTCGGGTAGAGTGTAGAAATCAGACTGTAGTAGGTCGGGTAGAGTATAGAAATCAGACTGTAGTAGGTCGGGTAGAGTATAGAAATCAGACTGTGGTAGTTCGGGTAGAGTATAGAAATCAGACTGTAGTAGGTCGGGTAGAGTGTAGAAATCAGACTGTAGTGGGTCGGGTAGAGTGTAGAAATCAGACGGGTAGAGTGTAGAAATCAGACTGTAGTAGGTCGGGTAGAGTGTAGAAATCAGACTGTAGTAGGTCGGGTAGAGTATAGAAATCAGACTGTAGTAGGTCGGGTAGAGTATAGAAATCAGACTGTAGTAGGTCGGGTAGAAAGTCATCAGAAATCAGACTGTAGTAGGTCGGGTAGTAGTAGGTCGGGTAGAAATCAGACTGTAGTAGGTCGGGTAGAGTATAGAAATCAGACTGTAGAGGGTCGGGTAGAAATCAGACTGTAGTAGGTCGGATAGAGTGTAGAAATCAGACTGTAGAGGGTCGGGTAGAAATCAGACTGTAGTAGGTCGGGTAGACTGTAGAAATCAGACTGTAGTAGGTCGGGTAGAAATCAGACTGTAGTAGGTCGGGTAGAGTATAGAAATCAGACTGTTGTAGGTCGGGTAGAGTATAGAGAGTATAGAAATCAGACTGTAGTAGGTCGGGTAGAAATCAGACTGTAGTAGGTCGGGTAGAGTATAGAAATCAGACTGTTGTAGGTCGGGTAGAGTATAGAAATCAGATCGTGGTAGGTCGGGTAGAAATCAGACTGTAGTGGGTCGGGTAGAAATCAGACTGTAGTAGGTCGGGTAGAGTGTAGAAATCAGACTGTAGTAGGTCGGGTAGAGTATAGAAATCAGACTGTAGAGGGTCGGGTAGAAATCAGACTGTAGTAGGTCGGGTAGAAATCAGACTGTAGTAGGTCGGGTAGAGTGTAGAAATCAGACTGTAGTAGGTCGGGTAGAGTATAGAAATCAGACTGTAGTAGGTCGGGTAGAGTTTAGAAATCAGACTGTAGTAGGTCGGGTAGAAATCAGACTGTAGTAGGTCGGGTAGAGTGTAGAAATCAGACTGTAGTAGGTCGGGTAGAGTATAGAAATCAGACTGTAGTAGGTCGGGTAGAGTATAGAAATCAGACTGTAGTAGGTCGGGTAGAAATCAGACTGTAGTAGGTCGGGTAGACTGTAGAAATCAGACTGTAGTAGGTCGGGTAGAGTATAGAAATCAGACTGTAGTAGGTCGGGTAGAGTGTAGAAATCAGACTGTAGTAGGTCGGGTAGAGTAGGTCGGGTAGAGTGTAGAAATCAGACTGTAGTGGGTCGGGTAGAGTGTAGAAATCAGACTGTAGTAGGTCGGGTAGAGTATAGAAATCAGACTGTAGTAGGTCGGGTAGAGTGTAGAAATCAGACTGTAGTAGGTCGGGTAGAGTATAGAAATCAGACTGTAGTAGGTCGGGTAGAGTATAGAAATCAGACTGTGGTAGGTCGGGTAGAGTATAGAAATCAGACTGTAGAGGGTCGGGTAGAAATCAGACTGTAGTAGGTCGGGTAGAGTGTAGAAATCAGACTGTAGTAGGTCGGGTAGAGTATAGAAATCAGACTGTAGTAGGTCGGGTAGAGTGTAGAAATCAGACTGTAGTAGGTCGGGTAGAGTGTAGAAATCGGGTGAGTGTAGAAATCAGACTGTAGTAGGTCGGGTAGAGTGTAGAAATCAGACTGTAGTAGGTCGGGTAGAGTAGTAGAAATCAGACTGTAGACTGTTAGGTCGGGTAGAGTATAGAAATCAGACTGTAGTAGGTCGGGTAGAAATCAGACTGTAGAGACTGTAGTGGGTCGGGTAGAAATCAGACTGTAGTAGGTCGGGTAGAAATCAGACTGTAGTAGGTCGGGTAGAGTATAGAAATCAGACTGTAGTAGGTCGGGTAGAGTGTAGAAATCAGACTGTAGTAGGTCGGGTAGAGTGTAGAAATAGACTGTAGTAGAAATCAGACTGTAGTAGGTCGGGTAGAGAGTAAGAAATCAGACTGTAGTAGGTCGGGAGTAGAAATCAGACTCAGACTGTAGTAGGTCGGGTAGAGTTTAGTTTTCAGAATGTTGTAGGTTGTGTTGAGTATAGAAATCAGACTGTAGAGGGTCGGGTAGAAATCAGACTGTAGTAGGTCGGGTAGAGTATAGAAATCAGACTGTAGTAGTTCGGGTAGAAATCAGACTGTAGTGGGTCGGGTAGAGTATAGAAATCAGACTGTAGTGGGTTGGGTAGAAATCAGACTGTTGTAGATCGTGTAGAAATCAGACTGTAGTAGGTCGGGTAGAGTATAGAAATCAGACTGTAGTAGGTCGGGTAGAGTGTAGAAATCAGACTGTAGTAGGTCGGGTAGAAATCAGACTCAGAAATGTAGTAGGTCGGGTAGAGTGTAGAAATCAGACTGTAGTAGGTCGGGTAGAGTATAGAAATCAGACTGTAGTAGGTCGGGTAGAGTGTAGAAATCAGACTGTAGTAGGTCGGGTAGAGTATAGAAATCAGACTGTAGTAGGTCGGGTAGAGTGTAGAAATCAGACTGTAGTAGGTCGGGTAGAGTGTAGAAATCAGACTGTAGTAGGTCGGGTAGAGTGTAGAAATCAGACTGTAGTAGGTCGGGTAGAAATCAGACTGTAGTAGGTCGGGTAGAGTGTAGAAATCAGACTGTAGTAGGTCGGGTAGAGTATAGAAATCAGACTGTAGTAGGTCGGGTAGAGTGTAGAAATCAGACTGTAGTGGGTCGGGTAGAGTGTAGAAATCAGACTGTGGTAGGTCGGGTAGAGTATAGAAATCAGACTGTAGTAGGTCGGGTAGAGTGTAGAAATCAGACTGTAGTGGGTCGGGTAGAGTGTAGAAATCAGACTGTAGTAGGTCGGGTAGAGTGTAGAAATCAGACTGTTGTAGATCGTGTAGAAATCAGACTGTTGTAAGTCGGGTAGAGTATAGAAATCAGACTGTAATAGGTTGGGTAGATTGTAGAAATCAGACTGTAAGGAAGAAGGATTATGCAGGCAACATTCTGTAGAGTTGATCATGTCTGGTATTGTAAAGACTGTATGTAGCAGTTGGGGCAGGAGACTTCAGTGAAGAAACAAGAACCTTGGTAAGACTATCATTAACATAACACTGTGTTACGCGGAGTATTTGATTTCAAATGTATGCATTTGGGTTTTTTTTTTTTAAATCTTAGGGAATTTCATATTAACAGATTCTTGTTACAGACAAAATACCAAATTACAATAAAAATAAGCATATTTTGATGTATGTAACGTAAACAATATAAAGGTATATTTCGTTGGCCGGAATCTTAAACAGTGGTCTCCTTCTTCGTGATCAATTACCCAGCACAGTACTTGATAAATGGTTTATGCTATGAATACTTACAGATATTTCAGTTCAGGAAGTCCATCAAATGCACCGTCTAATAATCTCTGAATTTTGTTGTTATTTAAAAGTCTGAAATTAAAACATATATATCTCATTAAGGAGTCCTGAGCAAAATATTTTTGCTGATAAATTTAGAGGGAACGTGCATCTCACATCCTCGGGTAGATGCTTCATTTTCAGTAAGTCGTTGATTAAGAAAATTTTCGGTGTGATAATGTGGAAATTTCTAATAGCAAACGGTTCTTTATTGATTGTTGCTACTTACAATGTGCTTAATCTATTCAGGCCTGAAAATGACCCGGATGGAATGTCTTGTATTCTGTTAAACCGCAAATCTCTGTAAAAGAAGAAAAGAGAATTTAATGATAAAATTTATTCGGATACCTTATCACAAAGCTAATAATCTCACTCTATGAATCCGCGGTAAAAATAAGAGCAAAAAATTTCTACACCGACCCTTTGAAAAATATAAAGGAAAACCAGAGGTTCTTGAAGAGTAAGCGTCTTCTGCTTTATCTACGATAACCGCCATGTAAATATTGGTAAACCAAAGTGACGATGATATACTCCCCATTAAGAACCTTTATATCAACAATGGAGCCATCAAGTATACGAACGAATATTTCTAACTTCACATCTCACAAGGAAATGCATTATTTTCATATGAAACCATGGTGGCTACCATCAACCTGCATCTCTCGAATCCCCCTATTGTAAGTTTTCTGGCATCTATCGCTGTCTTTCAGGGAAATTCTGGTTTTAGTAACAGGCCCATGGATACCAATAAACATGTAAACACTCTAGACTGGAATCGCATGACTATTTCTTTCTAGAAATGGATAACTCGCAAAAGAGAAATTGAAAGCATACGCTTATCGCATTGTTTGGTGGAAAGATGCCCCTCTTGTGTTCTATAAAGATAGCTATCTATGGACATGGTCAATGACTTTCTTGTTATTTAAAGACAAGACATCATCAATGTATCTGAACTCAAGTCCTGTAACCTGGTTTGATAAACAATTTTCATGCACTCAGTTTGCCTCAAGGGTATGCCAAATGACTTTTGGAATACATTGCATTGTACAGCCAAACTCAGCGAGATATTGTCAACCAGAAATTCATGACGTGATCCCTGAAATCGTCGCACTGAACTGAAACAACTAAATGTATTCATAAATGTAGAGGCCATCTACATTTCGTGAGAAATCCAGGTTGAACGATAAGTGATCATTACCTTCTCTAAGTATGGGTTGTCGTCCCGTCTAGCCTTAACTCACCTGTATATATATGTGTGATGGGCTCATAAAAGATTGTTTTACAACTTGACCCACAGAGCGACAATCGAGTCTTATATCATACCCGACCAATGTTATGTTGGTCTATACTTAAATGTATTACTGCACAAAAGGACATTTCAAAGGTCTTTAATTTTCAGTCTGCCCATCGTCACTGAACGTGTTACTACGGCATAAACATCTGTGGGTCGAGATACTTATCTACGTTGATTTAAGGAAATATCGACACAGAATCGAATACAGCTTTTCTCAAAACGTGACAAAAAAGTCTGTTCATCAGCTATACAACAGGCACACTATTACTGGGAATGTACATCACTTTCAGATGAAATTTATGAACGCGATTAACTCCACACATAATATGTTTTTTCAAAAAGATTAACTTATAATCCACGTTTATCATTTTACCAAACCATCTTAAGACATTTATTCAAAATTTAGAAAACAAAACCATCAGATACCTAGAACCAACGCCTTCACCTCAGCAGAGGCTTTGAAAGGAAATGTATTGTGATGATGTCATAATTGACATGACGTCATCTTGTACAAAACACAAGAACACAATTTGGCGAATTTTTATTGTGGCATGTTTAGACTTGGTTTTAGAATTTTTAAGAATTGAAGAAAGGAGATCAACCCCGTTGTTTTAAAAGTGTTTACCGAACAAAACGTTGGTATTCAACTCAAATAGTCGGTACCCTAACATGCATTCAAAATAACAACGATTATTATGTCTGTCAACATTTGAAAATTAGAAATAAGAATGAGTATGGAAATTACTCAATTCTCAGACTATCAAATTAACGAGAAGTATTATCATAGAAGGATAGTACAAAAGACACACAAGTGAATAATATTTGGAATTAGGAAGAGTGATGCTAAATAATTTAACTGCATCATACAGCTGTGTCGTCCTTCTAGGACTGACAGTAATATACTAGGGACTCACAATGTAAAAAGGAAACCGAGAGAAAAATTAAAAGTGGCTAAAATCAAAGTGAAAATAAAAACATGGAGAACTTATTATACGTTTACATGTCTACAACATAACAAACATTCGCCTTGTCGAGATAATTATATGTCTACAGCTATAAAATACAGGTTTTCTTAAACATAAGTTATCAGGCACAGTGAGACATTTTAAGCAATATCTGTTTCCAGTCTGTACTTTCTCAGGAGATATGACACGTCCAGCTGGGGACTATAAAATTTCGATATGAATTGCATCACCCGAATGTTATACAAATTTACATCTGCTATGCTTACATTAATGTTTAAATTGGAATACAAATGTGCACTTTTCATACGGACGTTCATTATCAGATTCAAATCTGACACCGCAATGGTAAAAAACAACAGTCATGGAGATCGGCATAGCTTACATTCCGCTCTGCATCTTAATCTAGAATAGTTTTATAAAGTCGGTCTGAAAGCTTAACTGGAATATAGACTTGATAGAAAACCAAAACAATTGGAAACGAGAAAGCAGAAAAAAGTACCAACACTATTTAAGGAAGGAATTAAACCAAAAGAAACAGACGGACACAGAGAGACACAGAGAGAGACAAAATGAGATGAAGTATATATATATCATCTGCGTAAATTCCAGTATGGTATCCGCCATGAAATCTCTTGTCAAGATAGGAAATTTGGTGGTGTAAGCATTTTAGACGGTTTTGATACAGTTGGTACAGAGAAGGCACAATCACGTGGCCACTTATTCCTATCGTGCTCAGATGACAAATCTAACATTTGATTTTTTTCAAAAATTTGGAGGAATTTTACAACGATTTCATAAGAGATATCATTTTCAATGTTAAGGGTTTTCTTTTAAAGTATTATTTCATGATTTATAAAACGAGTTTAAAGAAAGTTGGGTTGAGCTCTGATTCATGCACGGGCTTGAGAATGGTTTCAAATGTACGGGTCCTCAGATCACAATAACTGTGATTTTGATTTCAAAGGTACCCTGACATAGTTTCCGTTTTCATGAAAAGTCTTAACTACTGAAAAAAATATGCGCAGCCAGTCTCCCGCTCTTTCGTCATTAGAATTGAAAATAGCGTTCCGTTCCACTGATTATCATCTGAATATACAGCTTATACAAGACTCCGTGCTCACAACATCAAATATCAAAACTGTACCTAAAACGAATACGCATGATTAAGCATGGTCCTTGAAAAAGGAAAGAAGGTGGAAGTGCTTATCAGTTTTATCATATTGGCGTCAATCCTTCGATAAGTGCACAAAGGTTTTGTCAGAATGACACTCTACAATTCTGTACATTGTATCAGTCTTTCCTGTTCCTTCCCTTCACCTAAACGCCTTTTCACGCCTCATTAACTTCATATGCATTAAATGTATGTTTATGTGTACAGATATACAAATACATGCATACTATCTTAAGCTTAATGATCTGATTGATTTTAATTCCTCGCTGAAGTCTAGACAAAATAGGTCTGGTGAACTTGTTTTATATAAAGTTTTGTTATCTTACTTATACGCGAGGATCTTTAGAAGTAGGAGAGAACGGCTGTATAATGCAATTCAGTCCATCATTTGGCTGTCGTGTGTCTAAATTCATATTGAAAGGTGCTCTTCACTTGTGTCTTCTGTACGATCTTTATGAATATTCAAAACTACATGGGTGTATTTCATATTCATTAAACATAATATCATATTTGGATATAAATTTTTTGATGGAAAACAATTTAGCTGAAAGTTTTGTGAAGACCATGTGGAGGTGAATTATAGCCTCATTTCGAGGCCAAATTATTTGAAACTTAATAATCTTGACAAATTATTTATCAAAAAGTCCATGCCCTAACTTTACATTATTGTTTCTTTTAATAAGATCTAAATTGATATTCAAATTCTCGTGAAAATGATCATTTAACACTCTCAAAGCTAAGGCATTCATTTGTTGTTTGTTAGGCTTTTTTTCCCCTTTTACTTCATTCTATCTCGTCGTTATTTTTTTTTTCTGGTTGGGAGAAAGTCTGGGTTGGGGGCGATGGGCGTGTGGCGTTGGAAAAAAGAACAATATTATTTATCATTTCATTAAGCTAACAAGTTATTTTACGTCTACGCCCTGAAGTTTAGTTACAGGGGTCATTTAGTGCAGCCCCTACACTAATTGAGAAGTCAGCGCTCCCCGGGTTTTCCGGACATGCTACATGCTCTTTGTACTGCGACATGGTGCGTGCCACCCTAAAACGTTTATTAATGATATCATATTCTACATGTAAGTAAGTACATGGAACACAGATTTGACAAACTTTGATTATAGATAAAATATCACATATTAAAGGGTGCTTATTATTATAAAATTTATCCCAACTGTGTGTACCTTTTTGAAATATAGGATGCAGAACTTATCAACCGTATGACTTTAAAACCTTAATTACAATTTTTATCTATAAATCAGAAATGGAACAGACCGGGTGACTCAATGTATTAAATTTCATGACCTGACTAATAAAGTATGTTGCACCGTAAACAAGTAAACAACAATATATCAAGTATACTATTTTCGACTACATTCTCATCTATGATAAAATAAAAATGCCTTGTGTGATGTAACGATTCCAATTTTCCTACATTTACCTACATAATCGTCCTGCTTTGCAAAAGTTCAGATGACTTTAACAATAACTGTTACTAGTTTTTCGTTGACAATTTAAGATGACATCATGAGATAATGACCAGTATGACATCATAATAACCCACAAAATTGACATAGCCTCCCCAATCTCGACACGCCATCAGAATCTTTCTAGGCCAACAATTTTTGTTCACCATATCAATTTGTCGGTTGCATTTAACATGTTAACAATAAAACTACATTTATTACGAAGAGAATCCCAACTTTTGTCTTTATGCTTTAGTGATCCTCTCTTCCAATTACCAAAGCCTTACAGATGTTCTTCCTCCTCCATGCACCACCCTCTGCGCCAAGGGAGAATTATAAATGTGAGTCACTATGATACAAAACAATATGGCTCAGAAAAGTTTAACGTATCTCCACCCTATTTGCCAGTTA